ATCTTTCACAGGGCTGGGGTTGTGGCTCAGAGGTAGAGTGCTTGCCTACCATGTGTGAGACACTGGGTTTGATCCTCAGCACCACATAAAAATAAAATAAAGATATTGTGTCCACCTTTAACTAAAAAAATAAATGTTAAAAAATATATATCTTTCATGCTGGGTGCGGTGGCACATGCCTGTAACCTCAGCAGCTTGGGAGGCTGAGACAGGAGAATCCCGAGTTAAAAGCCACCCTCAGCAATAGTGAGGCACTAAGAAACTCAGTGAGACCCTGTCTCTAAATTTAAAAATATACAAGATAGGGCTGGGGATGTGGCTCAGTGGCCAAGTGCCCCTGAGTTCAGTCCCCAGTACCACCAACCCCCAAAACATTTATTTCATTTTGTAAAAGGGTTTGATGCAATTAATTAATGGGTTTAAGTAGTTTAACTCTTGAAAGAATTCATTACAACACTTCTGCCGTCTGAGAGAGATTGGGTTTCAGTGATACCCATTCCAATACCTAAGTTCAAACCAATTCAATAAATTTTTATTCACCCATGAATACCTGCAAAGACCTTGAAGAATCACCAATAATCATTTCCATAGGGTTTGACTCTAACATTTGGGAAAATGTTCTATTGTGATAAATCGGACAGATGGACAAAAGAAGAGGGAAAATATCCCAGATTCCAGAAAAAAGAAGTCTTTCTTCAAGGAAAACTCAAATGGAAGAATTTCCTTGGGATAGAAACAACATCATCAGGGAAAAATTAAACAAGCATAACTGTCCTATTTACAACCACAGGAGATACATATGAGGTGGTATGTTTCACTTTTCAAACCTTGTACATCTAATGGTAAAGTTCTATATAGGTAGTTTTGTCCTCTGGTTTATTTCAGCATTTTCTTTATCTTTGGTTTTCTGCATTGTTAATTTTCTGGTATTGGTCCTGCTTAGTGTTCTCTGAACTATCTAAGCTTGTGATTTGGCATCTGTCATTAAATTTAGAAAACCCTGAGCCATTACTACTTCAAATGTTGTTCTCTCTTTTTCTCTATCTAGTAATCCAATATGCTTATCTTACAATTCTCAAAATTGTCCCACCACATATGAATGTTCCATTCTTTAAAAAAAAAATCATATTCTTCTCTTTGCTTTTCAGTTTGGGAATCTTCTATTGACCTACCTTAAAATTCTGTGATTCTTTCCATGAGTGAGTCTAACCTATTGATGAGTCCATCAAAAGCAATCTGTATTTCTGTCACAGTGTTCTTGGTTTTTATCATTTCCTTTCTTAGTTTGTATCTGATTATTTTATCTCTTTGTTCTTTCATATTGTCTATTTTTTTCTATTAGCATCCTTAATACAGTAAGTAGTTATTTTCAATTCCCTGTCTGATTATTTCAAGACCTGTGTCATCTTTGAGTCTGGCTCTAATGCTTGATTTGTGTCTTCAGACTGTTTCTCTTGTCTCTTAGCATGTGTTGTAATTTTTTGGTGAAGACAAGATGTAGAGAGTAATAGAATCTCAGGTAGCAAGGCTTTTAGTGACAGCTTGAACATTAGTCTGACCAGCAGCTTAACTGTGTTGAATAGTTTCACAGGTAGAGGTGTCCGAACAAGTGTCTTTGAGAACTTTTGTTTTATTTCTCTCTTTCTTTGTCTTTGGATTTTCTCTAGGGACTCCCTGTCTTCATCTTGTTATAGGAACTGTTTACAGTTTTACTCAGTTGTGTGGATATGCCACATTTGTTTCTCCATTCACTTATTGATCAATATTTAGGTTGTCTCCAGCTTGGGGGTAGTAAATATATGTATGTATAAAAATCTCGTTTCATATCTCCTCTTCTATCTCTTTGTATCAGAGAGATATAATGTATCAGAGTATGAAAACTGGGTCATATGGTAGGTGGATGTTTGTTTCACTTGCTAAGAAATCCTAAACTCTTTTCCCAAGTGCTTATGCAATTGTGCATTATTGTTTCATGTCCTACAAACTCTTGGCAAAATCTTTTAATATTTAACCAATAAAACAACAAGTTGTCAATATGGTATGCTATAAATAAGAATGGTTATCTTAATCATATGCAATCTTCCAGTTCATGTTGGTGTTACATTTATTTATTTTAGTCTTATTTCATATCTGTCAGCAATGTTTCATAGTTTTCAGTATGCCGAACACTGTTGTTGGGTCTTTGGTATGACCTTAACCCATTTAGAAACTAAGCCTGTTATAATTTCATGGATGTCAGAAGAAGACATGAGATTATAGGACCAGAGGAAAAAAACTTCATCACTCATGAAACAGCAATCGGCACAGACACAAAGCATATCTGTATTGCTTTCCCTCGCCTCCGTATCCCATAAGCACAATGAGGTAGACCCCTATGGATGCCTCACACATAGTGTTTTGCATTACGATTGAAGAAGACAGATCTTGGCTTATCCATTGCTTTTTAAAACAGTAAGCTTTCTTTTTTGACCAGTTGGGAGATATTATCTCATGTTTCAGGGTCACAAGGTGTATATTCACCTGGTGAAAATAAAAGATTGGCCAGATCAGTGCTATCCTGGTATACCCATCATGAAGTGTAGGACAGTAGACCAAAGGAGGATTGTCTCTCTGCACATTTTGGTCCTATTTTTCCATATTTAATATTTCAAAGATGGTTTTGTACTCAAACTCTGATTTCTAATAATACATATGAATAAAATTCTATACTAACTTTGTATTCTGCAACCTCACTCAAATCACTTTATTAATTTTAGTAAATTTTTTGTAGATTTCTTAGAATTTTCTATATAGACTATGTGATCTGTGATTAAAGATGGTTTTACTTCTTTTCAAATATAAATTTATTTCTTCATCATGCCTATTGTACACAATCTTTTCTTTCTCTTGACAAAACTCACTGAGAAGACATCATCAGGGTTGCCTGTGGAAATAACTTGGAACTACTTGCTGGGGCACTTGGGAGGCTGACTTGGAAACCGACTGGGATGCCAGGTAAATTTCTGACTACATGGGTGCTACTGAAACTCCAGGGGATTAAGGACCACTAGATGTCTTGCACTCTTCTGGCTACCACTCTCCACAGAAGTAAGGAGAGAGAAAAGCAGATGAAGCTAGAAGAGAAGCCCCTTCTTCATGCAGTGTCCCTTAGCACCATCTATTGACAAAACTTGGCATGCCATTCAATAAGAAGCATTTACGGGGTCCAGTTTCAGTAGTGCAAAGCAGGGCAATAAAGGGCATATTTGAAACCGAGAGAAACAAAGTCTCTCATATAAAGTGATAACTGGCACATTCCGCCCTTTGGTTACTCAGATTCCAAATGCATCCTTCTATATTCATCTTTCAATTCTATGAAATAAAAATAACTGTTTCTACCTTACAAAAAGAAACAGTCTCAATAGTTGTACTCATTGTGGGCTACATTAATTATTCTTTAAATTTAGTCAATCTCTGAATACTGAATATTGTTATCTAAATACTAAATTGTAAAGTTAAGCTCCAACTACCTGTATATAAAATTATATTGGATGAAGGTTCAGAAGGAGAAAATAGTTAATACATAGGCATAATAAACAAAGAGGAAAATATGCAAAGCTTCTACAGTCCTCATTCTGTAACATCATGAAGTTATAGTTGACATCTATTTTTTCTTTTGCCACTGATTTCATACTCCACTCAGCAGAAATATCAACTTGTTGATCTTCTGTAGTTCATGGAGTGACGTGCATCCTTCATTCATGAAGGGTGTGATTCTTCAATAGTTCCGCCATTTTGTTTTCATGATATAGTCCTCTTGTATAATATCAACTGTTGCAATATGTATCAACTGTTGTATAAGATGAACTCAACTTCTCCTTGGTAATCAGAATCAAATACTCCAATCAGAAGAGTCATCTCTCTTTCTTCCAAAATGCCCAAGTGGTGGCCTCATCTTCTAATTCAACAGAGCTTTTGTTACACCTCCTAGTGGAAGCATTTCCACCCTGGGATCTAGCTCTCTAAGCCAGCAGAGCTCAAAATTCTCAGGTTATGAAGTAATTGTTCTGTCAGTGAATTATTAGCTGAATATTAAAAGGAAGCACTCTTGCTTTCACCCCTTGATTTCAAACTCATGTATTCTGTCCATTGAACAGACAGCACCATAAATTATTTCTGATTCAAAGCAAATTCTATATACCTTCAGACATATCTGTCTTTTCAGGGTGTTATCACAATCTGGCACTATAACTGCACCTTCAGTGAGCCAATCTTCCATTCAGTTAGGTCAGTTTCTCCTAGGTGATGATGAATAAGATCAGTTAATTCAACATAGATGGGCCCATTATTTCACTGTTTCACTCCTTTTGCTGTTAAATGAGAACACTGATCAGGAGCAATGTTTTGTGAAGTGCCATAGTGAATAAGGTACTCTGTGATTCAGAAATGGTAGCAGTGTCACAAGCATTCTGAATAGAGGAGACAAATCACATCAAGAATATGTGTTTATTCCACTGAGAATGACTGCACCTTCCATAATGGACTCAGTCTAATGTATCTACCAGGTTGCTAACTAGTCTTCTCCAGGAAATGGTGGTATAGAAGGATCTCAGTTTTGGTCTGTTTTGTTGGCAGATTAGGTGTAAAGAAATAGCATTAGTAAGGAGAAGACCATACTGTTAAGCTCATAGATAGCCTCTGCTTGTTGAAGAAGCATTGTGTGAGTGGTGACACCAAAGAGGGCATCATCATGTCTGTCTGATCACTAAGAACTGCCTCTGCAGTGGAAACTCATTCATGGGCATTCACATAGGACAAAAACATCTTCCACTTCCTGTTCTCCCTTGAAACATCCATTAACATACTTCTGCAGACTTCCTTGTCACTAATCTGTTGCATCCAGCCTGTTAGAAACTGTCCACAAATAGTATAATTTATTTTTGTCCATCTCTCACTATAGATAAAATAGACAAGAAAAAGCACCATTTGAAGTTCCAACCACTGGGAATACTTTTACTCACCATTATCTTTCAGAGTTGCCTCTGGATAGTATGTAGTAATCCAGCTGCCCACTTTCAAGTGGTGAAGAATACCTTGCATAGCTATTTATAAACCAGGCTCAACTTTGTTTCTTCCTTGGTCAGCTGGTTATAATGAACTCCTCAAGGAGGCTATGGGCAAGGACAGAATGTGGAAGATATCCCAATGGGTTTCAGTGATGAAGGATTTTTTTTTTTTTTTTTTTTGTACCAGGGATTGAAAGGGATTGAACCCAGTGGGACTTAACCACTGAAGCACTTTACCGGCCCATTTTTTAAAATTTTAAGACAGGGTTGCCACAGTCTGGCTGCAGCAAAATAGCCGGGGGGTGAGGAGAGCCCTTTATTGCAGGACAGGAGCAGTATTTATACATTCCACACAGCTTATCTAATTAGCATAAACTAGATACATCAGTCAACCAATAAGGAATCTCCACACTTAATGGCTTGCTTTTGTTACTTCTCAAACCACTCCCTCTGGCATTTTGCCAGGCACCATCCAGACTTGTTTACAAACTCTTAACATTCCCCTGGCAAAACGCCAGGTGTTATTTTGACTTGTTTACAGACTATTACACAGGGTCTCACTAAGTTGCTCAGAACCTTCTCAAGTTGCTGAAGCTGCCTTTGAATTTGCAATCCTCCTGCTTCTTCCTTCTGATCCACTGGGATTGTAGGCATGCATCACTGCACTTGGCAGTGTTAAAGGATTTTGAATCAAGCTACAAACTTTAGTCCATAAGTACAAGTAATTTATTTTCCCTTTCTAGAATAGCCCAAAATTGATCTTCCATTTAATAATGCACACATACCATCTCATGTCTATGTGGGTATGGTGAGACAAAAAAATGGCTCCTCAAAAGATATTCATGTTCTAATCCTTGAAGCCTATGAGTGTTATCTTACATGGAAAAATTAAAGTTATTTTCAGATGTGATTAAAGTTCAAGGTATGGGAGATTATCCCAAATTATTCAGATAGTCCTTAAATGCAAACATGAATCCTTAAGACACGTACACAAAAGAGAAGGTACTGTGAGTACAGACAGAGTAGAGAGAGCTTTGAAGATCTCACTCAGAGACTGGAGTGAAAAAGCTTCAATCCAAGGGGGGCTGTCAGCTACCAGAAGCTGAAACAACAAAACTAAACCAAACAAGAAAAGCATTCTGCTCCAGAGTTTTCAGAAGGAGCACAGCCCTTCTAACTCCTTGATTACAACCCAGTGATACTGATTTTAGATTTCTGTCATACTGTAAAAAAATAAATTTGTTATTTTTAACTGCCAAGTTTGTGATAATCTGTTACAGCAGCTATAGGAAACTAATAAGGAGATTCAGAGAACATGCAGTTCATAGGCCATATATTCCATTGTTAGTTGTGTAGTCCCACCAAGGCCTGGGAGCAATCTAGAAGATTCAAAAGAATAATAGGTATGTGCTGAAGAGAACATATATTTGCTATAATATCTTAGCAATCTGTGCTGTGATTCTCACAGTGGCGTTGACAAAGGAACCAGGCAGTTTTCCTATTTGCCATAGACTTTTGTTTGTTTGTTTGGGTGGTTGGTTTTGTTTTTTGCAGTACTAGGAATTGAACCTGGGTCCTTATGCATGCTAGGAAAGCACTCTACCACTAAGTTACACTCCCAGTTCTGCCACAGATATTCTTAAGATCAGTGGATATACTGAATTGTGAGTCCTGATTATGAGAGCACCTTGTACTGTTCCCTGAACTTGCTGCAGAATCTTCTCTTACTGAATTTCCCACACAAAACTGTCAGCTTTACTGGTAACATTCTAGTTGGTTTGAAGTAGCATACTCAAATGGAAATATGTTGTCTTCAACACTCAAACAGCCCTAACAAGCATCATGCCTATTATTTCATGGTAAATGACAATGATGCAGGAGCTTGCCTTTCCCTTGAAAGGGATCCATGAACATGCTTCACATCTTTAATCCTTCAGAAACTTCAAAGTGAACAGCCCTGATTTTTGGTGGGATTCATCTCCCACCTGGTAGTTTGCATTTATCTTAATAAGTTACTTGAAATTCTTACTATATCTTGCAAATCAGATCCAACCAGTATAAAGTTGTAAATGTGGTAGACATGTATTGTGGGATGTTTTGGGGATTGTCAGGATGATCAAGATGTCTGTGAACAACTTTCTTACAGCAAGAGACAGAAGAACTTACTTGGCCTGAGGCAAAACTGAATATGTGCTGTTGATAGTGTGAAGTAAATGCAAATTTCGTTTTCAATTTGCCCTTACCAATTGGTATGGACGGAAAAAAAAAGAAAGAAAGAAAGAAAAAGAAAAAGAGCATCAGCCAGGCCAGTTGTTAACAGTTGAAGTCTCCACTGACTATGTTCATGACAAATGACACCCATTCTCTAGGATGTACTTCACTTCTTCATAGGACATGCAGATGAATTAAACGGGATGGAATTCGTCTGGCTACCTTTGCTTCTTTTAGGCTTTGATGATGACATTCATCTCCAGCTCCCCAGGAATAAAGTATTGTTTCTGGTTTACTATCTTTACAAGGACATGTTAGAGAGTTCTACTTATGCTTTTCTATTATAATAGAGATTTCCTATGGGTCAGAGAGCTAAGGTATGAACACTGCCAGTTGTCAAGTATACAATTCCAATTATACATTCAGGAACTGAGGACATCCATTGAGCAATTGGGCCCACTGTGAATTGGCTTAAATTAAGATTCCATTTATCACCTGACCAAAAAAAAAAAAAAAAGATTTACTATAGCAGGCCTGACAATCATCTTTTGAAACTTCTGCTTGAAATACTAACCCTTGGCTGGTAACTGGAAACACTTTCATTCTCTTCATTTTGTGGCAAATCAAATCAGAGTTTGAAGTGTTAGTTCTAGAATTTCTTCTATTATAAAGCTTAAGCCTCCTACCTATTCCTACTTAGGGTTACTACTCAATTAGTCAAAAATACCTGTAGGTCAAGGCATTCTGATTACTGGGCTATCCAAGCTGCTCTTTATGAGAAATGTGCCCTTATTATCTTTGGAATTTAAATGCTACCACCAAGTCTCTGATAATCTTGGAATCTCATTCTTGTCAGTCAGGAACTCATCTCACTAGTGGTATCATGCATGGCTAGTCCTGGCCAATGAAAGAGGGCAAAATCACAAACCTTTACAGGAATGCAAGCAAATCTCCCACAACATATTTCTCAATGCCTTAGTGAAGGGAGGGCTTTGGGGGCCTTCTTGTGAAATATTTTGGGAGATTAGACTGCAGTTCATACATGATAAATGCATTATAACATGCATATCTTCCCAAGCTTTTGGGTTCTTTTCTTCATATTATGCCAGAAAAACTCTGGCATCTAAACTTCATTAAATGTAGGCCACTTTAAGTACAAGATTCAGCCAACCAAGCAAGTAAGCTATTAGAGCCACCTCCAGCTGCACAAGCTAACATATCACATCTGGAATCTCTAGTGAATGTACCCATTAATGAATTTTACCTAATTTAAAATTCCCTGCTCTCTTAATCTAATATCTGCAAAAACCTCTCCCCAGTATAGTTCCAAGGTTTCTGCTGACTATATATTAGCAGAATCTTTCCATTTTTCTCATGTGTAAACAATTATCCCCCAGGTCATGGTGTGTACCTATCCTCTGGAGCATATAGATTTCAATTTAGCTATGTGTCTAGTGGCCATGGTGGGTAATTAATAATCATGAAAAATATGAACTTCACCTTCAACACATCTATCTCAGATGGTTCAATAACAAAATTCTAAGCAAAAAAAAAAAAAAAAAAAAAAGACTAGTTTCCTCAGATTCAGGAAAGTGAACTATAGCTACTGACAAATGAGATTCAGGGGATTGAGGAGTTAAAGACCAACAGTTTCATTTGGATCCAGTCAGATGTCTTCATTCTAACTTTTGGTATCACATCCTTCCCTAAACAGATCCCTTACTTTTCCCTGAGAAACACTGCAAGATTGAATTTATCAGATCTCAGAATTCAGCCATAGACCCAGTTAAAATGGGATTTTGAGAAAATTTTGGTAAAATCTCAAGACTCTTCTTGATATCAGAATGAGAGAAATAAGGAATAAAATGAGTTGCTGAATAAAAGAGGGGCTCCTAACCATAGTTAATATTTATGAGGTACTTAACATGTGTCAGGCACTGCCCTTAGGGGTTTATACACACTATATGGTATCATGCATCCATTTAATTTTTTTACATTGTACTCAGAAACTCCAAGGCTCTAGTTATAGGGCTGGGGCCTGCTATGTAACTGAGGAGACCCCTTCTTCAATCCCTGATTGTTGCCATCATGCCAGAAAGATTTCCCACATGTCACTCAGAGTAATAAGTATATGTTTATTAGAGGGAATAGGAAAGGGGAAAAGGGGACAGTCTCAAGGGAGAGAGTGGATTCTTTCAGAAGGAGAGGAAGTATGTCTCTCTTGCCCTCCTTTAATGGGTGGGTGGAGAGGGGTCCCAGGGAAGTTTCCAGACAGTCCTGCTGAGGATCACATCTTGACTTTTGACTGGCGGTAGGATGATATCAACCTTCCAAGCTAGTTGCACATGGTACCTCTAGATCACTTTGGTCCATGTTGACTTGTTCTAATTGAAACCTGTTCTTACAGATTTTGTGCTTAAGAGGAATTATCCTTATTACCCTGACTTCCAAATTCTAGTATACAGAACAGTCACAAAATCTCCCAATTCAGTATAATCTGTGCTCTTCATATTAGCATTTGGGGCCTGCATTTCTCCTGCAGATGACTGGTAGTTTGATGAGGAATGTAACAAATCCCATCAACCTAAGCCAGGCAGGGATGCAGGTAAATTGCTTCTTTAAAAGGAAAGAGAAGGTTAGCACAATGGGCCCAGTTTACGGAATTACTCCCTTAACCTCATGTTCCCACCACTCACTGTCCATTTCCTATCACTCTGACATGACATTTAGGTCCTCAGTGATCTTTGACCTTGCCTACCTCTCTGACCTCTCAGTTTCTTCAGAAAATTTCGATCATAAATCTCTCTTTGCAACTCAGTTTCAGTGCCCTCCTCCAAACTGCCTTTCTCAAGCAGTTCACTCCCTACTTCATTAGCCCCCACATTAAGACCGTGCCTTATATCATTTGTTACAATGTCCTTGGTTTTTATTTCTATTTATTGTATATCTACATTTTTTAAAAATTTTTTCATTTTGTTTATTATGTGATTATTATTACTCCATGAGACTGGCAGAGTCCATGGCTGTCTTGTTCCCACTGCAGAGCACCAGAGAAAGTGCTCAATAATCATACGCAGGATTTTCACAACTCTAGGTACCGGCCTACATTATTTCCCCTTGTTTTTCAAACAAGCACACCAAAGCTTGGTGATCCAACTTAACTTATTCTGTCACAGTGAACTAAGGACCGGAATCTTGACGCTTCAAGCCAGAGCTGGCCAACACCTACAACGACCCCCAGCTAGCATAAGAATCATGAAATTCCCTCCCATTTTTCAGTGACAGGGCAGCAGAGGAAACACAGCATTCTCGTAATCCACACAAAACTAACCCGCTGAGGCGCGCCATTTCTCGACCAGCCTGGGACCCCTACCCGCTGAGTGACAGGCCTCCTGCCACGGCGCCCCCACCGCTCCGCTGCCATGCGCAGGCGCGCTGCCCACTTCCGCCTGGGGCGGGGTCGGCGCGTCGGGGGCGGGGCCAGGCGCCGGCGTCAGGACCCGCAGCCTGCGCTCCTATGGAGCTGGGGGGTCGCCGGGGCCTGGGCTCGGCGTCGGGGCTGGCCTTGGCGACCCGGGAGCCCCCGCCCGAGCCGAGGACGGGGACAAAGGTGGGGCCTCCGGGCCCCGGCGACGTCCGAGCCCGCCGCTTCCTGCTCTGCCTCTACCTGGTGGGATTCCTGGTGAGTGCGAACCGGGCTGGGGGCCAGGTAGGCTTGGTCTGGGGCTTGGGACTCAAGCGAGGCTATGTTTTGTTCAGGCTTCGGGGATTTGCAAAGCTCAGCCAGGGATGCAGACCTGCCATCTGCTTGTTCAGTTGCCTCCCTACCTCTCAAACCTCAATTGTCCCTGTCACTCCCAGTCCTGGGCGCCCTTGACCTCCTCTGCCGTTTTAAGAGCCCCAGAACTAGCCTCAGGTGTGTCTTATTGATCTAGCCGCTCTCGAGGGTGACCCTGGGAGTTAAATACTCCGGCAGGTTCAAGTCTGAGAGCTACCTGGGGAAAGGCCAGCGGCTGCTGTAGACCAGGGGTAGGGAAAGTCTGTTGATGATCCCACCTGGACTGAATTAGACACATTTTCTTTTGGGCTCCCTGTTGACTTGATGTTTGAAAATGCAAATCACGTGAACCTTACACTTCTTCCTTTGGACAAAACGTTTATGTATTGCACAACACAGGTTTCCTCTCATTATGATATGTGTGTGTGTGTGTGTGTGTGTGTGTGTGTGCGCGCGCGCGCGCATGCGCCTGCTCGCAGGTTGGGGCCAGAAATAGTCATTTCCCCCGTGGATTTGAAAACTTGGAGAACCTAGAGTGTGGTAGGGTAAATCCATTAATTTAGTATTATGGAATTTTTGAACATGTGCCATGTGGTAGGTGCCATGGAACTCCAATATTGTAATATGGATTTCCTGCCACCAAAGAACTTAAAAATCTTACCAATAAGCTTACTTTGGTAGTGCCCAACCACTATAACTGCAGTGACCCTGATCCACTTCCTCACCCCCCAATCCCTTCCAAGTCTGACTTACTGTATACAAGGGAGATCTCTAGGCTTCCAGTCAGTATTGCGACCCTGTGCCTGTCATGTTCTCAGGCTCCATGCTTTTGACATCAGAGCCTGGCACTCCTTCTGCCCCGCTCCCTTCTTCCTTTCATCTTTTTCCTTGATTCAGCCTTAAGATGCAGGTGTTTTTCCTAATTTCAGTCTAGTTGCCCAGAATTCAAAACTAGTGAATTCTGAAAAGTGATGTGGACTTCCAAAAACTATGGCTGGACCACTTTTGCCAAATGGAAAGAAAATTTGAGCCCTCCCTTGCAGAATCCAGATTTGTTTTCAAAAGGTTTTGGAAACTAACATTACCTAGAATTCACAATAGTTATTTGAGCTTTACAGTACAACAAATCATTTCAAAGATCGTTCATGCCGCTCAGCCTTCCAATATGGATTGCTATATTCACAGCCTCTCATATATTTTCCATATTATGTGTGATGGCGAATATAATCTAGAAAGCATGATGTAAAATTTTGTGATTTTAATGATGTTTTGGAAAAAAAAATCATTAGATGCCTAATATCTTCAGGGGAAAATACAAGATTTCCAGAAAACCAAGAGAGAGATTTTTTTTCTCTTTTTGGTGGAAAATGTTGTAAACAATTAAAATATATGCAGTTTTGTCTATCTTTGAAGGATCTAATGCTCCTTTTCTAGGTACATTAAGGAATATCCTATACAAATTATTATTCTTGATATGTTTAGATATGTAAGAATGCCTAAGACTCCTGGTTAAAAAAAAAATGGTTTCTGATTGGGAGACAAAGGGAACAAGATTAGAAATATATGTCAGAATGTTCTATTTTAGCTCTTACCTGTACTTTCATGTTTTAACTTATTTTAAAAAGAAAACTAAGATGACCTGATAGGGCTTTGTTGGTTAGGAATCTAAGATATTAAGATATATGATTTTAATCCTGTCTTTCCTCCAGAACCCTGGTGAGATATCTACTGTTTCATTAGCTTTTAGCAAGTGGGAATTCACTTTTGATGTGGTAGTCCACCAACAAAGAAATAGGAAGGAGTTCCTACCTTGAAAAAGGTGCCAAATTTTTTAATGTATTCATCAGTTTTCATTGAGAGATATTCATGTTCAGTGAAAGGCTTAGGTGACCCCATCTAACCTGACTTTCTTATAAACGATTACAAGCATATGATCAGTTGCCAAATGCAATGTACCTTCAAAGATGGTGGTTTGGGAAGCTATGGATTCAGAAGAAGAGAGGACTTGTCTTTTATAGTAAAGGAGATAACAGATTTAGAATAGGACTTCCTGAAAGAACCAGCAGCCGGGCTCCTTGGGAAAAGATAGACTTTTTCAGACTCGCATAGTACTAAAATAATACTAAGCATCAGCTATTGCTTCTGAATCTGTATTTTCATATTTACCTTCCATTGATCTTGGCCTGTGACATAAATATTTCTCTCCCATCTTTAACCATTTGAATATTAAATGACACAATACTGGGACACTTTCTGGGGAAAAAAAAATCTTATTGGGCAATTGAGTATCTTTTTCTGAAAGATCCAGAATGCTCAATAGCTGGTTGATCCAGCATGATAGAAAGAGATAGAAATATCAGAAGACTGATGAGACAGAACTGATAGAAAAGCCCCAAAGAAATTGATGCAGCCTTTAAAAGAAAGTTTAAGTAATCATAAAATTGACTTGATAAGCCATAGTTTTGGAAGTATACATTTATGAGCTAAGAATACTAATTATTTGGTATATGGCTATCTAAAGATGTAACCATGAAATAGAACCTTGAAGTATATGTGGACATTTATACTTCCTATTATTATGTGAATGCACAGCTACCAGAAGCTCAAATATTAGCTCTGGGCCTAAACAAAATATGTTTTTGTGTGTGCATATTCTTTCAATTTAACCAGGTTTGTAGAAAAGGGAATTCAGGCTTTATAAAAAGTTTGATGTATACATTGTTATTCTTCCCCTAAGCCAGTTGTAGAAGGTAACCAAGTGAAATGAGAGCAAAACTTAAAGGAAAATTAAATCTTCCTAGTAACTCCAAATACCCAGCAGGGACATACTTGTCCTCAGAACTCAAGAAAGGAGATGGGTTTGAACCTCTCTTTTGTGTCAGACCTTCCTCAGCCATTATGCCACTTAATACTCATGGTGGTTTTACCAGGCAGGCGTTAGATCCATTCTTCACAGAAGACAGCACTGGAGTGTGGTAGCAGTAAGTAGCACTTCTAGGGCACAGGTTCACTAAGGCCCGAGCTAGAATTGAAAGCTGTCTCTCTGACCCATCCACCCATGCACTTTTTGTGACTTGACTGCAAAACATCACCCTTCCCACTATGCTTCTTTCTCCTTCCTGCTATCCTGAGAATTTCTTTTCACATGTTACCTTATGAAGATAAACTGCAGGTTCTAGCATATTTGCTGCTTTTTCTTACCTGCACAAGTACATTCTAATTTTTAATCAAGTGCTGCTTCACCAATAAATATAAATCATCCCTCCCTCCTCTCCTTCATCTTCCATAGAACATTGTGGATTTTTCATTTGCTTGTTGTTTTTGTTTTATTTGAGAAAATTTTGTTACACATCCTCCTTGAATGTTAAGGGTCAACTACAAACAAGGTGAAGTTAAAAATCGATCCTAGGTCAGGGTAACCCAGGCTTTTACACCTGACAGCTGTTATAATACGTTTTATTAGGATTTCTTCCTAACTTCAACTGATTAATATGGCATACTGGAAGCTTTGATTTCTTGAATGCTTAGAAGTTTAGATGTTGGTTTTATTTTTAAAATCTGTTTATAATTTTAGGATCAACACTTAAAAAACTGGTAGATTTCAATACTGACTTCAATCTGTGTTTGCTTTCTTAGGATTTATTTGGTGTCAGCATGGTTGTTCCTTTATTGAGCCTTCATGTCAAGTCCCTTGGAGCAAGTCCTACAGTAGCTGGAATAGTAGGTGGGTGGGTACTGGTGCTCATTTACAGAGCACTGGATTTGAAATCCTCTGAACTTAGTACCTGAAAACATCTCAGTCTTACAGCCAGATAGAATCCAAACAAGATAAATGAGAAATGAGAGAAAATGAATTTTCTGAATATTTAAAAATATAATCCTGAAGCAAACATAATTCATCTTTTCCTGGAGTACCCATTTTTAGAATGACTTTGAAGTTGGAGTGCTGACCCCATATCCCATACCACCACTGGTGCAACCAGCATACTGGTACAGCCTGTCTAGGGATCTGTCTCTGTTAAAGGATAGAGATGAACTCTTGCCTACAGGAGCCTATAATCTCATTTGAGAGATCAGAGAGAGTCTACAGAAGTCACATCTGTGGGGATGGACTTGGGTGAGCCACCCAGTACTTCTTAAATGGGGTTTCTCTGCCTGTGCAATGTAAAAATTCTGTCCAGAAGTGATTGATTAATGAAAGAGGCAGAACTTAGCAGGGTTTAGGACTATGCTGATGAACAAAAAAAATCCTTAAGACCAATAGCACTTAAGCATTCACAAGCTAGAAGAGCAAATGTTTTGAGAGAATTTTGTAAATAACCTTTATTAAAATCCTGATCTATACCATGATTGGTATTTTCTTTGAGAAACACACTTTGAATTATATTGGACCACCTAGACTTCTGAAGATTTTTAGGAAAAACAGAAGGAACAAGTAACATGATAATGGAGTTTAAAACAAAACAAAGAAAAAGAACCTCTGTAAGTTCCTTATAAAATTAAAGCACTTTGTAAGACTGTAAAATGTTAGAGATGTATGAGTCATTGTTAAAATTTTAAGACCGAGTAGGATTTCTCTAGAATTCATATTTCTGTTCCCTTGAGTACTCACCATGCAAGTTCTTGTGTCGGAGCCACCCAGTTCTCACATACAGAAGTACTGTCTTTCAGGGTTTTTGAAGTCAGCCCCTGTCTATATTCTCTATTCTGCTTTTCTTAATTTTATCCTAAAAGCCTTATACTAAAACTTATGTCATTGTCTTTTTCCAACTAAGAAAACTATATGGGGCAATCTCCTTTACTAAAAACAGTCCTTATGCTTTTCTGTTAATTTCTCTGAAATTGTCACTCCATTAAATTATTTCTGGGCCAGATCTAGGGAATTTTGCTTATGTTCTTATTTGTTTTTTGTTTTGTAGGTTCCTCCTATGGCATTTTGCAACTCTTTTCTAGCACATTGGTGGTAAGTTATCTTCCATCCGGCAGCTCATCTCAAGATCATAGTCGTGAGCTTCTGAGGGTCATCCATCTTAGATTGAGTGCTTAAGGTTTACAAAAGTAGGTTTGCAGATGGTTGCAATGTGCGGTGTTGTTAGATCAAGTAGGATCCTTTCGTTATGCATTCTTTTTATTTGGCCTGTGAGAAGGCGCAGAACTAAAGGGCTCAGGTGGCTTGCTTTGGGAGACACACTGGGTCAGTGGTAGATCTGGGATGAGATTGTAATCTGCTTTTTCTATAATTCCCTGCTACATTTTTACTGAAAAAAATGTAAACAAAAGTATTGTCAATTTTTATTGTTTCGTTTAATCTGTTTGGATTTCTAGGATTCTGTTTGGGGTTGTTTAAGTTGAACTAAGAGTCTTATTATTACAAGACTTAAGTGAATAGACAGAAGCCATTTGGAGCGGTTGGTTGGTTTTAATCTGCCCACGTGTATGGAATGATCCAGAGGCAATCCTGTCACTCTGCTTTTGACCAGTCAATAATTTGAAATTCAGAGACTTCCCCTTCTCTCTCCCTGGTGTATTCTACTGTGGCCACTCTGATCTTGGGACCTCATGGTCCAGTGATCCATAGAATGATCAGTTTAGTCTCATGGATTGATCATCAGTGACTAGACTGAATAGCTGGCCTGATGTTCACATGTTTAGAGGAAAGATAAAGATATTCTGCATTTATGTATCCCAGTAGTTGTTTCCTTGAGTTTTTAATATACATACGTTTATATACATATGTATATATATGTATTTTTTTTTAAAAAATTCAGTTGGATTCCATGATGAAATTTTAAATAACAGCTACTCCCTTATTGATCTTTGCTTTTGATGGAAATTTTTTCTTCATTTAACTGTGTAACAATCATAGTTTTATTCTCATTTAAACTTTTTAACAACCCAGCAAAGTAGTTGGTATCTTCATTTTATATTGAAAATTAAGACTCATTAGAGTTTAAATAATTTGAATCATCCACCAGACTCGAGGCTCTTAATGTCCTGATGTCACCTGCCATTGCCTTAGTGATATAGAAATAGATGACTGAAATTAGACAGGCACTTACTTATCAGTCAGAATGTCACCTTTCATACTCTTGTGACAGTGGAATTTGGGCTATATGTTAGTAAACACCTCCCAAAGTTTTGGTTATGTGTGTCTATTCCAGCATGAGGCCAAGGTGCATGTCTCCCACCTCTGTCCTGGTGCACTCTGGCCTCTTGGAGATAAAGACTGGTTGTAATTGTTTGACTTTTGTCACTAGCACTTATTGGAGGACTTGACACATGGTTAGCATTTTGTGAATGTGAATTTTTACTGCTAACTATGACCCTGCCCACTTATTCAAGTTGATTGTTTTACAAAGCACTTACACATATAGCTACAAAGCACTCTTCACATATAGCTAGAATTTAATGAAAACTTTTCTTAAAAATTTGTCAGAGAAACACCTAATTAAAATTTATTTTTTAACCAATACTTTTATAGTACATATTTTATGACTAGCATTTATTAAATTTTATGTATATGTAATTGAATATGTATTATATAAATGTATCAAGTCCTGTTCTGAGAACATTGTTTAATGTTCATAATAACCAGTATGGAGGGTCATTGTTGGTCTTTAGTGATCATTTTATATTAAGCATATAGTGTTGAGAGGGGAAAATTATCTGAGGTAGAATTTATTCCTTTTTTATAAATGAAGAAATTGATTCTTAGAGAAAGTAATTAATATGTCCAAAATTCAGAATTGAACCCAGATAACTTGGTCCTGCGGCCCATCACCAGGTTATACCAGTGCAATGTTAGCTGCAAGGACGCCAGAGAACCTGAATCAAAAGTTCAGATTTCTCCTGAATTCAGGAGGCCAGTGATCCACAATCAGAAGGGAGGGGGAAATTTCTAAAATCCATTGAAATGTATGTTGGGGAGAAGATTGATGGCACTTGTAAAAGGATGGCATATTTGGAGGATTTGCCCTCAGAATGTTTCATAGAGAAATTTTAGGACAGGTTATATACTTGTGCAGTGAGGTCTTTTAGATCCTTAAACATAAGCATATAAATAAAAATGGGGAAAGGGAATCAGCAGTTGTGGCTGGCTTCTGGCCAAGAGAGGCAAGCTGAGGTCCTGTGTTTATCAGAGGGGGGTGATGCAGTCTCATTCACCTCCTAGGCAGGACTGATGAAGACCTGTGTATTGCTCAAGAAGCGAGGCTCATCTGGGGAGCTTCACAGGCCCAGCAATCCAGTCCTTGACCCATCTCATATGATGCTCCATTGCTATCACAGTATCTGGCAGATTTTATTTTAAGGCAGTTTTCCTTCAAACAGAACTTCACCCCGAACCTTGGTGTATAAAATGGGTCAGTGCAGTGGTTTACGGGGTGTTATTTGTCAGGCTATGTCTGTCTGCTAGTAGCAGAGCAGTTTCCACGGTGGGAAGACAAAAAGTGAAGCTCAGTGCCCCAATCTGAGCATCCACTTCAAAGGCCCAGACCCCTGCTATCATCCTCTTCTACCATCCTTGAGTGGCTGCTCAGCCTCCCTCATGGTGGAAAGTGTCTGAGCAGGGAGAAGGGAATGAGGAAAGAACAAAAGGCCAACTAGCCACCTCTGAAGAACTTTCTCAGAGCCTTACCTGGTAACATCCAGTTGCATCTTCATAAGCCAGGGCTGTCTGCTTGCAAGTGAGGGTTGTTCTTTTAGCTGGGTGGGTTGCTGAGGGACAGAGACTATTCAAGTAAAGATGAGCTAGAAAGATGGCCTGGAGCCCCACTTACCTTGCTGCTCTTTCCACCTATGATCCACCCCAGGGAACAGCAGGACTTGAGGCAGCCTCTCTGCCTGTTTCTTTCTTGCTGGCCTCCGCTTGCTTAGTACCTCCTTGTGTGCCTCTCAGCTCCTGTTCCCCATGGGCTCTGCTTCCCTCCTGCAGAGGCACTGGGAGGTCCAGCTGGTTACCACCAACCTTCTAGTTCCCTACTGGGCAAGCCTCCCCCTGGCCCTCCCTGTGGTCTCAGCAAGTGTCCTTACATAAATAATGGCACAGTGGGGAGCCCATACCTGGCAGGACTCTGAGGTGGATGTGAGATGCAAACACACTGCAGTACTAGCTTCTCAGGAGAAAATGCAGAGGTGCCCATACACAATTCATCTCATCTGGAGGACAAAAGTAAAATAACAGGGAAAAGATGCCACTTAACAAATTTGCAAATTTTTTTCATTGACAGTATACAATGTTGGAACATGGGGAACAGAGACACGCAAACCAATGTGGGATATTGATCTTTCAAGGAAGTAATTTGTCAGTGTATGTCAGATACCTGAAAATATGGCTGTCTTTTAACCTAACAATTCCAGTGCTGGAACTTTATTCTAAGGACATTTTCAGGGATGTTTGCTATGAGGTGCCTCTTGTAGCATTATTTATTTTGCTGACAAATTGAAAAGAACCAAAAGTCTAACAAAGAGTAGATTAGTTAAGTAAACATAGGTACATAGTGGGATGTGGAATATGATTAAAATGAAAAAAAAATGGCATCCCAGTGACTTGGAAGGCTGAGGGGGGGAGGTTCACAAATTTAAGGCCAGTTTCAAAGACTTAAGAGGCCCTAAGCAACTCAATAAGACCCTGTCTCAAACTTTAGAACAATAAAAATAAAAAGGGCTGGAGATATAGCTCAATGATAAAGAGCCCCTGGGTTCAATTCCCAATATCCACCCCTTCAGATGGTAACAATGGCAAATTTTTAATGCCGTGTAATGATGTCCAAATAATAAAAAAGTAAGTTACAAAATAGAGTTCTGCAGACCATTTTCTTAAAAGAAATATGCCGTACATAGAGTTGGGATCATGTAGATTTCTGTTCTTTATTTTGTTTTTCAGTATATTGTAAATTTTTAGACAATGGACACTATCTCTGAGGAGTTTAGTTGCATAATATAATGAGAATAAATTAAAAAATGGGGCCTTGTAAATGATGTTTCATCCTTTCTTCAGATAATTCTCGGTTACCAAATCATCAGGCTTCAATTTTTAAATAAAAGTATATTTCTTTAATTTTTAGCTCAGTGATAAAGAGTCCCTGGGTTCGATTCCCAATATCCATCCTTTGTGGATATATAAAAATATATCCTATAAAATCCACAAGGATAGATAGATATATATTATATTTTCCACTACCCTTGTGGGAGGGCCAGAGGAAATAACTTAACCTGGCCAATAGCGTAGCAGACCTGAACATCTGAGGCCCTCAAACCAGGTTCTCTGACTTGTTTTTCGGGGGTCACGCTGTCCTGGGCATTGTCACAGTGGTGATCGTTACTGTGGGTCTTTTCTTGCTTTCCTCAGGGTTGCTGGAGTGATGTGGTGGGAAGACGGTCCTCCTTGCTGGTGTGCATTCTGCTAAGTGCCCTGGGTTATCTCCTCCTTGGGATGGCCACCAATGTCTTCCTGTTTGCCCTGGCTAGGGTCCCTGTGGGTAAGTGCTGGGCCATGAGTGTGTCTTCATTCAAAATAAATCTCTGTACATAAAGCCTGTCCCTTTGATTAGAGCTCACCTAAAGAAAGGGCCTTGATAACAGCAATGATAATAATAACCCTATCACTCGAAGCTGCTGATTATTGAGTACTTAGCTTCAATCTTGTGACAGATCCCAGAGCCCCTCAGAGTCTGTGAACCACGGTGCTACTACACCTGACCTGCCCACTTCCTGGTGTCTTCTCAACAGTCAGTAAGAATGTGCGACATGTCTTTGGCCAGTGCTCTGATGACTTCCTCCCTCAGTGAGCTTCTAGTTTTATAACTGGGTTTTCTGACTTCAAATGGAGTCAGGAAATTTACCTCAGTCTGTTTCCTGCAGACTCCTGGAAATCTGGAGGTTGTTGGGGAATAAGGCTATGATTGTGATGTAACAGCTCATGGGTTGTCTTTTTGTTTCTGGACTGGTCTTGACTATTTCCTACATTTTGAAATAGCTTTTAGTTTGTGCATTCGTTGAAATATTTTGTCTATTCTTAGAAACACCATCCATAAATTCAGCTGGTGTCTGGTGGGTGATAGTTACTATGGAAGTCCTTATTCTCTCCTGGAGCATCCAGAGACTGGAGTTTCAGTGTTTATTTCATCCTGTACCTGTGAGAGCACTGACAGTCTTTGCTACTCTGGTTCCCAGGTCTTGACAACTGGACATCTGCCCATATTCAGTCAAACTGCTTGATCTAAATTAACACCCCAAAGGAGTAGAGCATCAGATGAGGCATTAAACATTTAGCTGATGATCAGCTCACTTGGAATTTTCACACCATTTCTGGAACACACATCTTTAGTCTAAAAGTCTATTGAGTTCACACTCTAAAATTTACAGTTTTTTCATTTACTGTAAAAAAGTGCTTGAGGTTTCAGCTCAAACATGGTGAACAATCCTAACAAACCCCTCCCAGCACACACAAACTCCCACTGATGGCTTGTCCATGTGCATCTGGCGCTGATGTACTGTGTTCTTGAAGTGCTGGCCGTGTGGCTTCTCACAGCATGCTCCCTTTGCCCACTCACTGGCACGAGCTGCTCTTAGCTAAAGAAGCTGAGGAGGAAGTTGGAGGAGAACCGGGATTTGTTACAAAATGGGTAGAGATTTATAAGGAAGACTAAAATGTTTTTTTCTTTAACATGAAATGAACCTGGTTAAGTGTTGATAGCTCTATTATATGGACATCAAGATCTTTGCAAACAAGTAAAGCTATACATAAAAATTTCTTCTTAAGGGTCCATGTGACTGCCACACCGTTTGGTGGTCATGAATGGGAGGGAGCCCTGGAGGGTTTCACCAGGGTACTACTATGTCGTCTGTTGAGGATTTGTATCCTAATAGTGAGTCACTGACTTTGAATGTGCCTGAAATGGATACCTGGTCTTCCCCTCTCGGCCTGTAAAAGACTAGAGAACCTTTCTTGGGATTGCTCTGCAGTACTCTTCCCTCCTATGTGTAAGGCGAACCTGACATTGATATAATTTTTTTTAAATCACAGAATTCTTATAAGACCTCTTGGGAATCATCTTCCATCCCAGCCCTTCCTTACATTTAAGAAAACAAGTCTAGAAAGACTCAACCTGCCCAATTTCTGAAAGGGACTTATAAGTTTGTTTCCAGAAGACATTGAGTGTCCAGCAGATGCACTCTCTAATTCTGAGGCAGACCTGGGCCCAGATCCATGAGGCTACCTGTGGGGAGGGAGTTCATCAGAAGCCACCATGTCACTTCACAGTTAGAAGCGATTCGGGCTGACCTGCTGGTAGCCATGTGTGATCCACAGAGTGACAGCCACTGTGTGTCCATGAGTGTGTGTGTTCAGCACACGGGGGTGTCTGAGGACATGGAGTCAAATACATCCTCAGAACTGTGCAGGTACAGAATCAGCTCACGGCTCTCAGGTAGTTTGGTCAACAAATCCATGACTCTAGCTAGTGGAAATCAGCTGGAATTGGGTGGATGAACGCGCACCATTTTTCGGCTTCTGCCCTGTCCTCTTCCCTGCTCTGCTCCTGCCCATGGTCTTTTACACCTTCCAGTGTGTACTCTATGTTCCCTCCAGTGGAAACCCAGGCTCCGGAACTGTAAGAATAGCTTTCATATTTTTTCTCCTGGCTTTGGTCCATGGCTTTATCCTCAGGGTCAGGATCAGTGCTGGACATACAGTAGGCTTGCAGTAATATTTATTCAGTAAGTACACGAATAAAGAACCATAGCTTTACGTGAAAGCCGCCATATGGATATGCAGATGGATAACATAGAACCAGAAAAGCTGGGATGTCATGACAGGAGTCAGGGAAGCTGAGGGCTCAGGGGCTTGCTGCCAGACATGGTGACCTACTATGGTCATGACGCCAGCCCAGCAGTACAGTTATTGTGGGCTGGGACCTGTAGATCTTAACAGATTCAACGAAAGTAGAGGTCAGGACTCCATGTGGGACAGAAATGAAGTGCAGGACCACAAGGGAGATCCTTTGGGTCTGGAAGAAGTTACAGAGCATGTTTCTTGTCCTCTTGCAGGTATTTTTAAACACACCCTCTCCATCTCCAGGGCTCTGCTTTCTGATCTGGTTGCAGAGAAAGAACGGCCACTTGTACTGGGACAGTTCAATACAGCCTCCGGCGTGGGCTTCATCCTGGGCCCCATGGTCGGGGGATATCTCACGGAGTTAGATGGTGGATTCTATCTTACAGCCCTCATTTGTTTTTCTGTCTTCCTTCTCAATGCTGGTAAGTTGATGGTTAAGCACAAGATTATACTAATTACTCATGCGTACGGACTCTGCGTGTCTACCTACTTTTATGTCCTAAAATTTGTGTTTGGTTGGAATAGGCAGACTTGTTTAAAAATTAAAGTCATTTTGAAGAACTTCCGTATCATTGTTTGTGATGGTTACACCAGTTTACATTCTCACCAGTAGTATGTACGACCCTTTTCTTCAAATCCTTGCTATCTTTTTTTTTTCTTTCTTTCTTTTTTTTTTTTTTTTAAATAACCCTCTTAACAGAAATGAGGTAACCTTTTTTTGTGGTTTGGTTTTGCACTTCCCTGATCTTTAGTGATGTTGAACATATTTCATGTACTATAAAGAAATATCTATACAAGTTTTTTGCTTTTGCCCATTTTTTCAGCAGGTTTTTTGTTTGGTTTGGTGTTTGTTTTTGCTGTTGAGTTGTGGAAGCACTTTGCACGTTTTAGATATCACTCCTCTACTGGATATTGGATTTGCAAACCTCAAGTCCATGCCATGGTTGTGCCTTCTTACTTTCCTGTCTATTTCCTTTGCTGTGCAGAAGCTTTTGGGTTTGATATTGTCACAGTTCTCTATTTATTCTTTTGTTGCTTGTGCTTTTTGTGTCATATCCAAGAAATCTTGCTAAGGCTAATTTTAAGAAGCTTTATTCCTTCTTTTTCCTCAGAGAGTTTTATAATTTCAGGATTTTGTTGCTCTTGAATCTGTTTTGAGTTTATTTTTGTGTATAGTGTAAGGTAAGCATTCAGTTTCATTCTTCTGTGTGATGCATACTTTCTTAGTTGTGGTTTAAGTGAAAACATTTTTAAACTAATTTATTAAAAATTTAATAAGATTATGGTATTTTTTTAAAAAAGGAAAGAGTACCCCATCCCTGCCTCAGTCCTTCCCCACTGTGGCTTTCTGTCCATCATGGTAGTGCGCTGCCTCACGCAGCCTGCATGGCTGCACCTCCTCTGAGCACTGGCCACTGGTTCCTGGTCCTCCTCACGCTGACCAGGCTGGCTTTCAGGGGAGAGCACTATATGCTGGTGCCTTGCCCTACCTGCCATGTTCTTCCCATATATTACTGGCTTTCTCTTCCCACCATTATTCAGGTCTCAAATATTTGCTGCCTTAGGTCTTCCCAATCATTTTGCCTGAAAGAGCTCAGTTTTCTTTATAGCGCTTTCTTTGTAGCACTTCTCTTATTAAATTGTTCTGCTTGTGTTGTATTTGTTCTCCCTCCTCCCACCACCGCCCTCCCCCAAACACACACCTCTGGCTAGCACACTGCACAAGGCCAGCTATTTTGTCAGATCTGCTTACTGCTGCTACCCCACGCAGGATGGACCAGACGTATAGCAGATGTTCAGTAACATCTAATAAATCCAAAGCGAGACACAGGCCGGGTGGTCCTTGGCTGCAGAGCTTGTGGCCTAAAGCATCTTTCACCATCTTTGCTAAAAGACTGAGCTGTAGCCAATCCTTGGATAAACAGCCACATAAACAAGATAATTTGTGCTATTTAGTTTCCATTGTATTTACTCAGATTCTACTTTACTAGAACTTTCTGAATCTTCTCACTCAGGGCATGATGTTGAATGATAACCATGTTGGGTTAAACTATCAGATTCAGGAAGTAAAGTTCAGAAGTTAAATCTCTTAGTACTCATAGGAATCATGTATGGTTTTCTGCCAGGAACTTGACCTATGACCTCAGCCAGCGGGCAGGCCTGATTGGGTAAATTTGGATAAAATGACTTCAAATACATGATCAGTAGTGGGGCCAGTTTGTGAATGTGATATTATTCAAAGTCCAGAGTCAGCATATAAACAAAAAATGATTATGGAGTTCTAGTTTAGATTTTCCATTGATAGTGTTAATATTTTGTCCTAATTAAAGCCTGTGAATGGATATGGGTCAGTTAGGAATACATTCAGTTGCAGGTGTTCCCAACCACTATGGCTTAAAGCAATAGGGATTTACTTTTCCCACATTTAGCCTGGGCTGATGAAGGGTTCAGCAGAGGAGTGGGAGAAGAACTGGGCGAGACAGCAGATAGTCTCACAGAGGGCTCTGCCCATCCAGTGCAGTCAACACGATGCACTGCTGTTTTCTCATTCTAGTTTTGCAGTCTTTTCCTGCTATTAGGATTTGTATATAAGGTGTCTTGAAAAAACAATAAATAAATAAAAGTTCATGTGTTAATGCAGGAATATTTAGAGGCAAAATGATTAGATTATGAAGGCTGTGCCCTAATAGGTAGATTAATCTATATGATGTATTAATAATTTGAATGTCATACTGGGTGGTAACTGTAGGTAGAGTGTGGCAGGTCACTGGGGATGTGCCTGTCGAGGATATATCTTGTCCTGGCACTTTGACCTCTTTTTTGCTTCTGGGTGCCCATGAGCTGAGCAGCCTTCCTCTGCTGTGCTGTTGTACCATGATGTTCTGCCTCATCTCACCTCAGCACCAGAGCGATGGAGTGGTCCCATCAGGGACTGAAACCTCTGAAACCATGAGCCCCAGATAACCTTTTTCTCCTCTAAAAATTGTCTGGTATTTTGGTCACAACAATGAAAAGCTGGCTGACACACCTGCCCATGTGACTTTAGTTGTTTGGCTCGGCCCTTTTACTCAGCTTCTCACGTCCTGGCTCAGATCTGCCACTTTGCCCGAGAAACCCTTTCTCGTGTCTGTACCCCATGTCTTCTGTTCTGGTTAAGAACTCACACTCTGGCATCTGAACACACTAGTCCTGATGGCAGGGGCAGGATTATCTTAATGGTGGTCAGAACTGCAGTGTGTTCTGTGAGAATGGCAGCCCTTGAGATTTTGCAGGTGTGACCTGTGATACCACTCAGAGGCCCTGACTTGGGCTGTACTGCCAAGCTGTCTCCCTATACCTACGCCAAGACTGATTTGTCGCTGTGCACAGCAGACTGAGCCTCCCCGCAACATGACCTTTACATTTCAATCTAATTGCCTGTTTACTTGTGTGAACTGTTTTGGAGGCTTCAGTTCTTTGAGGACAGGGATTTTATATTCCGCATCCAGTTATGTTAATATATTAACAAGCACAGGGCTTAGCACTTAGGAAGCACTCCATAAGTATTATATGTTCAGATGGATGGATAAGTGGATGGACGATAGATATGTGGGCATGTGGCTACATGATAGGGATTCAGAAAGGTTTTTTTAAATTAGTTTATTTATTTTAATTAGGTATACATGATGGCAGAATGCATTTTGATTCATTGTACATTGCAGCACAACTTTTCATTTCTCTGGTTATACAGGATGTGGCGTCGCATCGTACACGCAGTCTCACATGTACCTAGGATCATGATGTCCACCTCATTCCACCATCTTTTCTGCCCCCATGTCCCTCTGCACCCCTCCCACCCTTAGTTAAGAAAGTTAAGAATTTAAATATAAATTTAAATTTGTAAGTTTAGATATGAAATGATGCAATATTTGAGCTTGGGAGAAAGTGGATATTTCATGGTATAGCTTTGGTGGGGTTTGTGGAAGGTGAGGAGCCTATTTCTAGAATCCCCTCATCACAGGGGAGCTGTGAGAATGGTGGACAAACTGCAAGTAAAAGTGCAGATTCATGACCTGTCACTATAATTGCTTATACCCCAAGGAGAAAAAAAGTGGTAGTTTTGTAAGTATTCTTAGGAGGATTAAGATTAAATTTATGAACTTTGCTTCTCAACCATGCAGCCCCTGGCTCAGCAGCATGCCCTGAGGGTGAGGATTCACACAGCTGCAGTGGGGCAACGTGCAGATGGGGAGGAGGGGAACTGGACAGTGTGGATTGTCTTGTTTCTGAAGCTGTTTGCCCAAGGGTGGGCCACGATGTAGGCCACTGAGTAGAAACTCAGTGCTTTGGGTTTGTGCTAACAGGTTTTGTGCCCTTTGAACAGGTCTCGTTTGGCTGTTTCCTTGGAGTGAAGCAAAACTCAGTGGTACAAAGAATGGCCTGAGATTGGGCAGGAAGCCTGTGCTGCCCGGAGAGACAGACTATGAAGTGCCGGAAGCAGCCCCCACTCCTTTGGCCTCAGAGGGTAAAGAGACTGCTCGGTGGCCCTGGGAAGAAGTCACATGGGCCTTGCGGGACATGAGGAGCCTGATATTCTCCGAAATGTGGGACATATTCCTGGTGCGCTTGTTGATGGCGGTGGCAGTCATGCTGTACTATAGCAACTTTGTCTTGGCCCTGGAGGAGCGCTTTGGGGTGCGGCCCAAGACCACGGGCTACCTCATCAGTTACAGCAGCGCCCTGGGGACGCTGGCCGGCTTTGCCCTGGGGCCCATCCTGCGGCTGTACAAGCACAACTCCCACGCGGTGCTGCTGCACTCCAGCACGCTCACCTGCACCCTGCTGCTGCTCTACTCCACCGCCCACACCATGGGCGTGGTCGTCCTCTCCTCCACACTCCTGTCCTTCTCCACCAGCATCGGCAGGACATGCATCACAGACCTCCAGCTGACCATGGGCGGGGCCCAGGCCAGCGGCACCCTCATTGGCATGGGGCAGTCGGTGACAGCCGTGGGCCGCATCATCGCCCCTCTCCTCTCGGGGGTGGCCCAGGAGGTCAGCCCTTGTGGTCCCCCCATTCTGGGGGCAGCTTTAGCCTTGGTGGCTATTTTCATAATGTCACTAAACAAATCTCGTGCTGGAGGTGGTAGAAGTGGTAAATTAAAACGTGAATAGGGTGGATTTGGACAACACGAAGAAGCAAAGTGGGGTCTATGAATCAGGGACAAAGGCCATAAAATAAGGGCTCTTCAGAGAGGGTGGCTGGTGTGAGTGAACCTTATTTCCTGGTGGGTGGCTCTGGTGTTAGGCTCCCAGATGGGCCCCGGGCTGTGCAGCTGTGCCTGAGTCAAACAGAAGTCACAATGGAAGGCAGGAGAGTTAAGATTGGAGGGATCCTTTGCCAGGGGGCCATATGCAGTGTTTACCTCTTCTCATCTGAGTCCACGAGATTAAATTTCTCCTGAGCTAAAAACTACCAGCTCAAGAGAAGGAAATGATGGTAGAAGAACAGAACATGGTGAGTGATAAAATCGAGGAAACCACAATCTTCTCACTGAGCAGTGCAGCGACAGCCTACAATCACATGCAGACCACCTGGAACGCGGGCTTCCTGGTAAATTCCATAAGCTAAGGGGGAGCTTTGCTGCTGTCAAAATCCTAGAGGTTGAAGAAGCTGCTTTATTAAAACCAGCCTTTCACTTCCTCAGAGTTGATTAAAACCCAGATGCTAACCTTACCCCTGGACAGACTCTGTGGCTCTATGAGACTGAGAAATCTGCAGTCTTAAATGCCATTGGTGATGTCTCATGCAGTTAGATGAAGGATCACACTGAGACATACTGTCTTTCATTAAAGTAAAAGCCTGAGACCCGGATGTTTTTATCAATGGCTAATTAAGTTTCGACTGTTAAAACTGTAATCATCATGTGTTACACTCTTCCCACCTGACAGCAAATGTACTCTCTGATAGGAGGAACAGGTTCTGCAACCTGCTCCCTGTCTTCATTGGGACTAAATCCCCCTGGACTTCAGCCATGACAATCTGCTCCTAGAAGCCTGTGTCCCAGTCACATTATGTCATTCTGGTGCTGCTAGGCGGTGAAATCAAAGTACATGAATGCATTTAAGATGAATGTCTCATGCAGAGTAAGGGCCAGGTGTCATGCCATATTGGAGGAACTTGATTCCATGGGGTTTGTATTAAAAATCATTTCCTGTATTTCAGTTCAATTCTATTCCCAGGAAGAGCCTGTTGACCTACAGGGAAGTGTTCTGGTGTGTCTTTTCCTGGACCCTCTCTAAACTGCTATTAGTTAGCATCATTCAAGGGGTCAGGAAAGGGGCCCTGATTGAGAACTGACAACAAGTGTTTGCAGGAAAGGCATGCAGTGGGCAGGCTACCCAGTGCAGTTACATTGGTTCCTAATAAAAATCACTTGGGAGGGCCCCACTTTTCTTCATACTGCCAAAGTTCACATTCCTTTTAATCCTTTTAAATAGTCCGCTAGGATATTATTCCTATTTTTAACCTAACACACATGTAATTATAAACAATATGTTAATACACTGATTTTTCATAACTTGAATATTTATTGTTTGTAAACTGGAAAAATATTTTCCATAGTTTCAGAAATTTTGAATGGCGTGACCCTAAATATTTATAACAATTGAAAATATGTTTTAGTTTGAAGATTGTCCTTTCTCTTACCTGGCTTCAAGAAAAATAACTTTTCATTAGGTTTTAAAATGGTAACACAAGAGCTAAGTGCTTTTGAGACCAAAATATATATATGAAATGTCCTTGCCCTTAAGGAGCATACTAAATGTCGTGGAGATTAGACTAATGGGACAATAAATAATAAGGGTTTATGTAATGAAGTGTAATTCACAAGGATTTCTCCAAAAGATTAGCTTTTCTTCATTCTCAGAAATGTGAGTTTCTTAAAAGCTCTTAAATACAGCCATTTATTTTTTAATTTTTTAAATTATAGCACTTTATTTTGAAGTTGAACAAAACCTAAAACTTAATGAGGCTTTATAACTAATCAGATACATGAAAATATTGAAAACCAAAGATTGATCTTACTCTACAGAATAGAGAAATGTTGTTATTCTCCGCTGGTGATTTGAGTTTTTGTCAAGCTCATTTTTTTTCCCCCTAGAAAATATTTCCTCCCAGTTCCTCTTACACAGTCTAGCACCTTGTTGTTCAAAGTGTAGTCAGGAAATTGGCTGCCTCATCATCTCTGGGAGTTTATTAGACATGAAGATGCTTAGGTCCCAGCACAGACCTCCTGGGGACCATTTTGACAAGATACCTAGCTGATTTGTTTGCACAGTAAAATTTGAAAACCACTGGTGTAATGAACACTTTTTATATTGTTTACGGAATATGAATCTCAGGGAAATTAAATCTGTTCAACTAACATTCATGTTGTTGTTTACATTTTCTTGGGTAATTTCCATAATCCTCTCTAAAATATCAGTTTGGGTCACAAGAAATTGTTTTTTTGTAAGTCAAAAATATTTTCCTGTGGTTCAACTTAATAATTTTCTATGGAATTATAGAGATATTGAACTTGCCTGGGTGTTTATGAAGGAAGCAGAGACCTTTCCAACGTTATGCTGCGGAGCATGGCTTGGAGCTTGGAGTTCCAGTAGACATGGCCTAGTGAGAGACAGGAAGCCTGGATGCTATAATCCCAGCATCTTGGGAGGCTGAGGCAGGAGGATCGTGAGTTCAAAGCTAGCCTTAGCAGCTTTGTGAGGCCCTAAGCAACTCAGCAAGACCCTGTCTCTCAATAAAATACACACACACACACACACACAAAGCCTGGGGATGTGGCTCAGGGGTTACGCACACCTGGGTTCAAGCTCTGATTCAAGCCGTGGTTAGAAAAGAAAAAAAAAAAGGAGCAGGGTGTTCTTGCTGCCTTGAGTGGCCTAGACAAGAAAGTGTGCAAGAGTCATGCCTGGAGCCCAAAGAAGGGGTTGAAACCGCTGGTTCTCTGGCCTGGCTGCATGCCCTAGACTGTGGGAACCAGATTCCTGGGCAGGAGGGCCCTCAGGGCCATTCCAGGTGGTGCTCCGATGCCGCCCAAGTGTCTGGTCTGGGCAGAGCTCTAGGCAAAGTTAGAGAGGCTGGTGGTTGAGTCTCCACTAACCTGCAGAGAACATGCGTGGGCATTTATAGGAACTTGTTCTCTGGAACACTGAAGATGCTTAAAAGACTGTCTGGCATCTTTTCCTGAGGACACTTTTATGAAAGATTTAGAAACTTACCAGGAGTGAGAGTCAGGCCAGGCTTGGGAATATTTCAGGAATTTGGGCAGCTTCATTCAGAAAACAGCTGCTCATTTGGAAAACGCAGTAAAAACCTCATCAGGGCGATTCTTCACACCCAGTTCCTCCCAAGCTAACTTCAACATGCTTTTAAGAAGTTTTTGAAATGAGTGACTCCAAATCTATGATGATGCAACTCTTCTTAAAACAAGGTAATAAACTGAAAAATCTTTCAATTAGGCCCAATTCTCTTTTCCTGAAGAACATGCCAGTTATATAATTTTGCCAATAAAATCCCTTTAAAATTGTAATTAAATACTATTTATCATAATAAATTGTATTTTTAGAAGTCATTGTTGTATCCTGATTATATATTTATTTAAAATTCAGGGTCCCAAAATGCTTGAAAAATCTAATCTCCAGTATGCTAAAACGCAGCTTAACAGTAATAAGACTTGGGCTTTTACAACCCTATGGTAATATGAAATAATATATGTAATCTGAAGTTTATACTGATGGTTATTAAGTAGGGTAATTTGAGGTAGCATTTGTTTCTAATGAAGCAGATACATAGTGCATATTTTTAAACATTTTTTACTTTGGATCTCTGCTTTTACCCAAATAAATCTCTAAATTCACCACACATTTTATAGATAGCTTTCTATGGAAAAAAAAATAATAAAACTGGCTTTCCTTGTTCAATACATTGTAAAAAATGGTTCTTATTCTTTGAAAAGACATACTTTGAAACAGTTCGTGTTTTTTCCTTGAGGGGAGAAGATAATTACAGCTGTTATGGGGGAATGCTAATTAGTACTAATAACTTACAGAGCATAAAAGGGCACTGTAAGGATCTGGTTTGAACAAAGAATTATATTTTTGTCAATCTTGATTAACAGTATATTACATCTTGAGGAATAAAATCCTTTTTTGCAAAGCATACTCTGGAGGGAAAAATAGTTAAAATATTTATTAATGTTTGCAATTTACAACATGGATAGGATATACCCTTCCTTCAGGCTTATAAAAAAAATCACTTCAGGCCTTAACATTCATCTCAAGACCCCAGAAGATGCCTAAAACCATGGTTAGTACTGAACACTGTATGTCCTGTTTTTTTCCTAAACATATGTAAGTTTAATATTATTCCATCTAAACTAAGCACTTATCGTGCATGGTGGCCATGATGGAGCTACATCAGCAAAAGTAGCAGGCATTTCTTCTTCCTTCTTCACAATTTCACAGAAGATTTGTTCTTACTGTAGATCTTAGCATCTACTATGACTTTTTTGTTTTCCAAGTTGAATACTTTCACCCTTTTACCTAAAGCAGGCATTTTACAGGTTCCCTTTGGTGTCTAAATTGCCAGCCTCACTACTCTTGGGCTTTGGCACCAGAAGTAAGTAAAATAAGGGTTACTTGAACACAAACACTGCAGTACTGTGGCAGTATATCTGATAACCAAGATGGCAACTAAGTGACTAACAGTTGGGCAGCATGTATGGTGTGGATTCACATCCCAGATGGGATAAACTGAGGTAGAGCAGAATTTCATCACACTACTCAAAATGATATGCATTTAAAACTTATTGTTTATTTCTGGAATTTTCCATGTAATAACACTATTCGGAATGGTATATATCTGAAACTTATGAATTGTTTGTTTCCAAAATTCTCCACGTAATATTTCTAGATCTAGGTTGGCAAAGAGTAACTGATGCTATACAAAGTAACACTTCAAAAGGAAAGAGTGCTGCTATATTCCATTTTGTGTAGTTCAATCTCAAACTCTTATCTAAACTGAGAATAACTTTTTGATGTGATAGATTGACTACCTAAACCTGTCTCAAGTTCATTTAATGAAACTGAAGGCACATGAAGTACCTTAGCCCAGTGTCATCAATGGCCTGGTCCCTGTGGGTATGCATGCATGTCACTGGGTACATGTTTTCCTTCAGTAATTCATTCCATTCGGCTGAGGCACAGGCCTGGGCATCACAGACTGCATCTTCTCGCCATGTTGGTCTGAGATGTCAGAGACAAGCGTGTTTTCTCTGGGTCACCATCAAAGTGTCTTCACCATGCCATCTGTTTGGAATGAATAAAATTCTGACAGTGTACCAAGTGGTAACTGCTGCTCAAAATAACATTGTAGCTAAAGGTAAGAACTTATAGATGTCTAACAGTAATGTAAGGGGCAATATAAATATAGCACATTTATTATTCAGATGCTCAAGTCTGTGTGTTACTGAAAATCTAACTTTGGTGGATACATACCTCTGCATAATATGAAAATCAATTTGTAGGACAATGATTGACATTAGCTTTGTTTTTGTTTTGTTTTGTTGTTGTTGTTGTTTTAGGTTTGGGTTGTCTTGGGAAGGCAGTGTTCAATATCAGAGCATATGTTATCTTTAAATTACAAGGGAGGGTCTTTTTACATGTTGAAAATTAATGGGTCTATTAAATGTGTACTCCTCTAATCAAATTGTTGTTAGCTTCTTGAGATATATGCATTTTTTTTAAAGAGAGAGAGAGAGAGAGAGAGAATTTTTTTAATATTTATTTTTTAGTTTTCGGCGGACACAACATCTCTGTTTGTATATGGTGCTGAGCATCGAACCCGGGCCGCACGCATGCCAGGCGAGTGCGCTACCGCTTGAGCCACATCCCCAGCCCAATATATGCATTTGGAACTAACAGAATTGAAGTTTTTTAATACTCTAAAATTCTTAACTTCCATGAGTTCCACCCATCATGACTCCATTTATTATGAATGAGAGTGATTTGACACATCAATATAAAAATTAGAATTTATGGGACTGCTCTAGTTTCTTATGATATATTATTTTCTCCATGAGGGATTAATTAAATGTTTACATGTAATTTTATATTTAAACTTATGCAAAAATTTTCACAGAAACTGGGGAAGATTTCCTTAAGTGTACTTATACAAAAGTTTGGTTTGGCAAGCAAAATAATTGATGTAAAGAATCTCATTTAAATTAGAGATTTAGTTACCAGTCATATTTATGACTCAACAGGAGTCAATGAAAGAGAAAAATTTGAATATTTATTTTGTCCCCAAGTTAAAAAAATCAAGAAAAGTCACCGCTGCTGTCTCTTTTGCTCCATCTGTCTGGTGTCTCCTGGAGCAGTGTTTCTAGCGTTCTGCAGTATGAGGATGCAGATTCCCAGGAAGCCTCTGTAACACCCTGCACAGACTTGAAGTAGGTTTTGAGCTTCTCAAAATGATCCATGTGCTATACAGATTTAAAATGTGATTATCCACTTTCTGGGTAGTTAACTCTAGACCCAGAAGAAAAGGTAAGAGAACTGAACCAAAATATATCAAATATGCTTAGAGGTAGGTAGAAAGAATTTTAGTTGAAAAATGGCAGAAAATTAGAAGAAAAAAAAGAGATTTTTAAAAAGATATACCTGTGTAACATTACAGAAACACACACACACACACACCCCAAAGAAACAAAAATGAGGTTATGTTCCTTGAGCTGGTTTGAGGGCATCAGCTAGACGTAAGGTGGATGGCATCAGGAATTCTGAAAGAAAGTGTCCTTTACCAGGAACAAAGAGTCATGGTGACTGCCACACAGCCAAATGGAAAGAAATGGAAGAAAGGGCTTGGTTGAAAAGTGGGATAGAAAGTAGCAATGAGCTATACACACACTTTGTTCTAAAAATGAAGAAAACATAAAATGAAAATGGGGGTCATCAGCCTGGTTCTGGGTCCTAAGCTTTCAGGGAGAAAAGCAAAGCCTACCCACTTCATGTCTGCATGTGCCACATCCCACAGATTCAACCAACTCTGGGTAGAAAATATTAAAAAAAAAAAATCTGTATTGAACCAGTAGATTTTGTCACTATACCTGAAAAACAATACAGTATAACAACAATTGGTGCAGTATTTACATTGTATGAGGTCTGTAAGTAAGCTGGAGATGGCTTAAAGCATACAGGAGAATGCGTGCAGGTCTGCCATTAATTATAAGGTACTTGAACATGGGCAGATTTTGGCATCCTCAGGGTGTCCTGGAACCCACAATTGAAGAGTGTTCTAGCCCCAGGTTGATAATGCAAGCAGCTACTTCATTTGGACAAAATCGTCTTTTCAATCACTCTTTAAAGAATAAATTCCAATGCATGCTCAGAATTACCCAAAATATTAGTTCTCATCATTTTGATTATGAAAGCCAGTTTTAACATCAACATGATTTGTGGGCAGGCAGTACAAAACTTGCTCAGTAACTGTGTTTCTCTACCCTCTTTATATGCACAAACACCCAACATCTTGGTAAGATGGCAACCCCTCACTATTAGCAAAAGTTGAAATTTCATCCATCCACAGACACAAGACACATACTTTACAGATTTTGGTGCTGATTCTAGTTTAGTGGCTGGCATAACTATTCTCAACAGTCACCCCTTAGCTTTATATAGAGAGCATTAAGCCCTGACTTTTCACTATCTATAGATAGTTCAAATTTTGTTACAACACACAGAGAAAACCTACCCAAATGCCACAAACGTGTTGGAACTTTGGATTAGGCATTGTTTGAACTAAGGGAGTCATTTACAAAGGACTGGGGCTCTTTCTACACTCTAGAAGTTAAGTGGTGTGGTATTTACAAGGGCTCATGTCCATACTGTCTCCTTTCAGAGGTTAAAATTCAAAAACTACCCACCCCAAAAATAAAAAGTTAGAGAAAAAGCTGAAGTCAAATTTATTTTTATTGCCTTTCCCATTCAATGAATAAAAATAATTAAACAGATAATAATTAAGATAAAATGACTCCAGTACTCTTTTCCAGAAATCTATACAATATCATTCAAACTCTTTATTTGACTTACTTTTTTTTCATGTTTTCTCCTTCATTCCAGAAAATTAAACTCAAGTATAATGTTCATGAACATAGAAACCAGGACATTTATTTTTAAAGGTCATTTTCAATTTCTACCTTCTTTTGCAGATTTCAAAAATTAAGTATTCTGAAAAATTCACCCTTGGCATTCTCAAAAACACACATCACATCTCTCGATGAATTACATTTCTATAATAAAATTCTGCATCCTTTTACATTTCTTTTCAGTAGAAGGAATGTATATTTTGATATTAATATTTTCATTTAAAATTCAGATTTTTGGCACAGAGTCCTAGGCTTGTGGCTTTCAGATTTGTGCTTTTCAGATTGTGCTTTCCACTGACCAGCCTAGGTTTGCTGGGAAAGACTTGTGCTCTTACAAACTTGACCCTTCTGTACCCTCCTCCCTGTCTCATGTAAGCCACCTGCAGTATTCCCAGATTTTAGAACATAAGAAACAAGGAAAGAAGTTTTCTCCATGTTGATGGGGGTGGAGGAGGGGCTGCAGAAGGGCTGCTGAGGACTGTCTCTTTCTGTTTAATTTATTCATGTTCCTCCCCCTGTCATACTTTGGCCACTTGTACCCTTTGCTGGGTGTGGAAAGTTTCTAATCTGAAACCAAGAAAGTATATGAATGGCTTCATTTAATATCTAAGCCCAGAAATGTAGAGTCTTGTCGCAGGTAAATTTTAAAAAGGGATTATTCAGGGGGAAAAAAGTGACAATTCAATAAAATCTGCAGTTTAAGAGACAGAGATTTAAATATTCCTTAATGATTACATTCCACTTCCTTCTGCCCTACTTCTAAAAAGTACTCCAATGAGTAGAATCCAATTGTATATGAAGAATTTGAGTCATTGCATTACTGAAAGTGAAGAGGTAAATTATAGATTAGTGCAAAAAAGGAAAAAAAAATAGGATTCCCACATTCTCCAAAGTGCTTCCTGAACAAAAGTCAAAGCCTGGAATCTTACCAATCTATTAAACATTAGAATACTGTTTTTAAAAACATTCATCTTTGTCTGCTTGACCTGGGCTCCAAATTCTAGAATGTTCTACAGAAAAATTCTATTAAAGCAGGTGGCCATAGATGGGTGTGAAAGGAATCATCTGCATCCTCCTCCCAGTATTGCACAATGTAAAACCCACCACCTAATGATAAGCAGGTGCTACCCTATCTCCTTACCCTTGGCCACAGGAGCGCTTCCAGGGTGGGGCTTCTAAACAGCTGCCACCAAATCCATCAAATACAATAGGCTGATTTTTGTCCCTGGAAGAATTTCTCTTTGCACCATCAAAAATATCAAAAAAGAAGGGGAGATGGAACTTATATGTCACCCCCAAACACATGATTCACAGATGAACAATTAAGAACAGTAACTCTGATTGTTTCACAAGAGTGTGGGGTGTCTAGACCACACGCTGGGAGCCAGGTCACTCCCACCTGATTGTGTTCCCAGTTCATTAGTCATGAGAAGCCTCAGTTTGGGGCTTTGCTCCTCCTTTACCAACAGGTCCAACAGCTTCGCTCTCAGCACAGGGAGAGGCCTCTACCTGAGCTTAGGATTCACCCTTTAGAAACTGACCACTGACCCTCAGAAAGATGCTCTAGGAACTTTTAGTGCCATTCACTTAAAAACTGACCCACTATGGACATATATATATTTTTTTCATAAATAAAATTTGAGGCATACATGTAATATATTAAAATTTCCACCAACAAGGGTGTGTTAAAATTTTCAAGTTCTGTTGTTCAAGTTCGATTTTTAAAGGCACGCTTTTTTTTTTTTCCTTCAGTCTTGCATTGAGTACAATTTGCAAGCCACAAGTCACAGAAGAGATTTTTGTGGGACTAAACTTTCTTTGATTTCCCCCTTCTTGGGATAAACATTCTTCCCATCAATCACTATTGACTCTACCATCCAAAGACAGCATTCAGATAGGGGATTTTAAAGGGATTCCGCCGTTGCTTCAGGTATGGGAGAGAGAAACCACAGCTTTGCTGGGTCAGTCGCCCCTGATCTCCCTTGGCCATTTCCATTAGGGCTTTTCACTCCCAAATCGGGCTTTCTGGTTTCCGGGTTCGGATGCCCTGCGGACCAGCCTCGGAGGAGGCCGGGGTGGCACGTCTTCAGTCAAACTGTCTTCCCTGCCACGGCCAAAGCCGTCCTTGGAGAGAAGGGGCTGGCGCAGTACGCCTGGCGTCTGGGTGCCCCCCTCTTTGCTGCGGGGTGCTGGGGACGGGCTGGGCTGCCCTCGGCCAGAATCTCCATCTACCTCGTTCTTCCATTCCATCTTATAGGACTGGGAGGCTTTCTTGGAGAACTGTTCTGGCAAGAAGCGCCTGGATCGGGGTTGCAAATTAAGCGCGGTGGTCCCGGTGTCTACGTCTGAGTCGCTGCTATTGCCATCTATCACAGAGCAAAAGGATAGCGTGAGCAAGCATTTCGGGGGGGAGAGGGGGTGTCACAAGTGACCTCAGTACCTCAGTGGGTCTGGCAACTAATGCTCCCTGGGGCCCTGGGGAGAAGGGGGGAGTCAGAAAGCTCGCTTTGACTTAAGCTTAAGGTCCTATCTGTGTCACCTGAGAGCATTCCTGTCCACTAGGCTAATTTTGCCAGGCATGGGATCATAAGCACTTTAATATGCACCACCCTTTTAATCCTGATGCTCACCCAGTTTACAAATGGAGTAACTGGGTTAACAGAAAGCACTGGAGCTGGAATTCCAACTAAGGTCCTCTGGCCAGTGGTGATTATGTGCTCCCAGGCACCATAGGAATGGCCCCTCTGGGCTCAATTCCCCCTGGCAGTTAGCAGTCTGATCGCCATCTGCTGGTATGAAGAGCTTTCCCTCGTTCTAGGATCTCAGGCACAGTTTTGCTGGTTTCCTTTACATTTCCATGAAGGACCCAATCATTGATATGCACTTTCTAAACTAACTGAGGAGGCAGGATTAGGAGGAGATTCCTGGGCTAGAGTTTGGTGGGTAGGATAGTTGAGAGGATGGGCTGCTGGCTCTGAGCTGATTCTTAGGATCCTAGAACATCTTTGCAGGACACAGCGGTACCATAGCCCATGGACACACAGTCCTGTGGCCTTGTCTTCCCCTACCCTCCCTTCTCATTTCTCACCTCGCCCTCCATTATCACCAGCAATCCTTAGACTTTCCTCTTCTTGGTTAATTAAACAAACAAGCAGGAAAAAAAAAAAAAGCAAAGGGTTTTTAATTATTGTTACATCCCACACTTGAATAACACGGAATCCTAATATACTTTTGGGATTCAAAGAAAATAGCTTGGGGGTCTACATAAAGATTACCATCAAATAAAGAGATATCAGACCTTGTGAGAAAGCTTTAACAACTGCAGTCAGAAGTAAAATATGCGGTTGCCTCTATGAAAATATATTAGAATTATTGTAAAACTAAACACACATTTTCAGACCTGCAGCTTTCTATTGACCTGCTCAATAACTCCATAGTGACAATATTTGATTTTACTATATCAAAGAATCATTATGGAAGATAAGTAATTGAAATATTTATAACTGATACAAATCAAAAAGGCTAATAAAAGGTCACTGTTATTATTTTATACTTTAAAATGATGGAACTCATCTTTAACGAAGAAAAACAGCAGGAAAATTTCTCTATTTTATAAGCATTAGTAAATGAATCTAAAGTATTTCTGCTCTGGTTATATTCATTACCTGCATTAGAAATATTCTTTTTCTTTTGTAGCTTTTCTGGAAGCTTTGTATTTTTGGGTAAGGATAAATATCTGGATGTTGAAGTGGAAGCCTATAAGAAAAATAGAAAACCTTGTTTAGATTACATACATAGTATTTATTGTAATACTAGAAGTCAAAACTTTTATAGCAAAACTTGGTTTTGAAATAAAATCTTAATTCTTCATTCCAAAATTACTTTTGAGGAGCTCTAAGTATTGTACTTTTAAGTAACCAGATTCCTTCCCAAACCATGCTAATAAAAATAGAACTAATGGGACCATTCGAAACAAGATGAGAAAACCACTTATTCTTCTTAAAAGAAAATCTACAGGAACACTTATTTATGAGGTATTACCAGAAAGACTTAAAACCTATCTGTATGGGGAAGAAGGTATATAAAATGTGTGGTATTATTTAAGCTTTATTTACTTTAACAAATCTTGAAAATGATAGAACAAAAAATGTTCCAAAATCTCATTTACTGAACTTCTGAATGCTACAGTCTTCAGATTTGCTACAGGTTCTGTAATTAACCTTTAATTGACATTAGATTTTATGTGGAAAAAAAGATAAATCTCCTTATTCACACATAATCATTTTAATCTCTGGTGGCCCAATATTGAATATTTATTATTAAAAATAAGACATAATGCCTGTCATGTTAATAAATTATCAGAACATTTTAAAATGGCTTTCACATCTATTGGCAATGACCCGAACCAACTGGACTGCTGCAAATTGCACTATGACCGCTCATGTCCCCAGCCACTCCAGGCTTCCTGAAGTTCCCCAGTGAACACATGGGCTTGCCCAGCTTCTGCCCTTTGCATCTGGGCCACCTCCCTCCAGAAAGTCAAATACAGTCATGTTCCACATAATAACATTTTGGTCAAATGTCAATCCCATCTGTGACACTGATCCTTAAGATTATATTGCCTAGTGACATTTTGGCCACCTTAGTTTGTGTAAGTACACTCTATGATGTTCTTGTACCCAAACTGCCTAACTACCAATGTCTCAGAAAAAATGCCCTTTGTTATATGGCTTCAAATCATACCATTTTCCAGTCACAGAAGCCTGGCTTAGCCATTCTGATTAAAATTGAAAACTGTCTAATCCCTGTATTACCTTATCTCTATGTATCTATCTATCACCTTTGAGCATAACAAATAATCTACTTTGATTCTATTCTCCTCTAGGATACTAGAAATCTTACAAGAATAAGAGTCTTTGTAAATTTTGTTCACTAATATATTCCCTGTGCCTATGCCTATGACAGTGTCTTCATGTAATAGGTGTTCAAGAAACATTTGAAGAGACTTTATTTTGTCATTCTCTCTCTCTCTCTCTCTCTCTCTCTCTCTCTCTCTCTCTCTCTCTCTCTCAAGGTCTCAATATGTTGCTCAGACTGGCCTTGAATCCCTGTGGATTCAAGCCATCCTTCTGAGTAGCTGGGACCAGGTGTGCATGCCACTGTACATGGAGAAATATTTTTATCATTAATTTTGCCCCTGAATTCCTGGGAGTCAATCCTCAGCAGTCATCCAATCAAAAGAGTCAATGACTCTATGGGCTGATTGGCTCCACCCATGGAAGCCTTCTGCACACAGAGACACCATATCAATTACCCTGCGCTCTCGATTCAAGCTGTTGTCTTTCCTGATGCTTTCACGCAAACTGTGCCTGCGGCGGATCAGAATCTCTTTGGCTTGTCTCTCGCTGGTGTCTGCTGTCAAATTGTGTCTGTTGTACGACAAAGTCTGAAATGAAAACACACAAGTGACACTTTACCAAAAGATGGATGATTTCCCTCAGAAATTTCAAAACTTTACCACACTGGTGGGGATTTACACCTCAGTAACAACTTCCATGCAGACTGAACAAAACAAAATTAAAGTCCTGGAAGAATTCAGTCTTTCATAAAAGTCAGTGAAGAAAGTTTTTCATTGAAAAGTGTGATCTTTCAAAATTAGAAAAATGACTGAATTTGCCAAGAGCCCCTGTCTATCTTCAATTGCCTTGCATTAGCTCAGCCATCACCAAAGCTAGGGGGGAAAAAGATCATTTTCACACATTCTCTATTGGACAGGAATTACTGATATAAAAACAAACTACTTTGAGCCACTTGGTGGTGCCATGTCCTTTTGATTAACTTCACAACTGATCCTTTATTCAACTAGGTTGTCACATTGAGAAGTTGTTAACACCACCAGGAATTGTCATGTTCCAGTTTGTGGAAGAGTGAAATTTCTAAACTAGGGATGTCCAAGTCATCTGTTTTTAGTTTCATAGGCTACACAGAAATATGTTTCCTCAAATAAATCATAATTATTAAGGAAGTTCATTTTCTGGTAGAATTGACATGTACTTCATGAGAATATCCCTGTGTCCACAACAATGTCAGGCCCTGTGGAGACATGCAAAGGTGACATGGAGTAAGACTTATCTTGTCTGCTGCCTTGAGGTGCTTATAAACTAGTTGGGCATCTAAGCGTAGCAAAAAAAGAAAAAAATATATAAAATTAAGTGCCAAAATCACTGACACCTAGTTCTATCTCATTGAAGGGCAGGACTAGAAATAATATGGTGTTTTTTCGGGGGGAAAAAACTTAATTTGATTCGAGGCTATGAATCAGCTGACAGGAAACAGGACATGTCCATGCGGGAAGATCAAGAGTGGGCACCACACAGGCCAAGAGGAAGACTGAACCTGTCACTCCACACCCTCTGGTGTGCCTGGTAGAGCTTAAAAATAGAGACCCTAAGTTTTGAAAAAATATTGTACCCAAGAAGCCACGGCTACTGTTTTGCTTCACTTTCAATAGGATAATGCTGCCACAAAAGATGGTTTCAAGGATGCACCTAGAATGAAGGCAGTCTTCAAGGAGGCCATGCCTAAGAAGCTGCAGGCATGGCCCCCAGAGGAATGAGGAAGACCCCTGGCAAGCCTGTGTGGCCCAGGTTCAACTCCCTGTGCCTCGGTTTACTTTTTCATTTGTGAAGTAGAGATGTTAGCAACACCTATCGCTTGTCATGGGAATAAAGGGATTCTCAAAAGCAAGTCGCTGAAGTGGGACTTGGCAAATTGTACCCCCTCTCTAAACATCACCAATATCATCAGCCCTCGAGTGGAACTGGGTGTCAGCAATGGAAACTCAGTGAGAGAAGTAACTTGAAAGATACAACAAAGGACGGAAACAAGAGCACTTCATGGGTAACAAGGAGGATCCAATACATTTAGAAATCCAAGGTATAACGCTGTTTCCTTAAAAAAAAAATCTATCAACTCATTTCTTCACAACTGTTCAGTGTGTATTTCTTATCTCCAAGACCCCAGTAGCAGAAGGCTTGAAAGCTTTAGCTACGTGTCCAAGAGGATGGTGGGACCCGGACCAGATGGGGGTGCGGTGAATGGGGGATCTGAGAAAAGAGGAGATGCCCATCGTGGGATCCACCGAGGCAGACGTAAGAAATTACATCACAAAGTCACAAGGGACATTTTTAGCCAAAGACAAGTAAATAAATAAATAAATGATCTCACTCTCTGACGGATTTGATACAGATTCCTGGATAATATGTCTCGAATTTCATCCATTTCACCAGGCGTGAGCTTCCTTATTTTTTCTTCACGGAAATCACTGTGAACATTTGGAAAAAAGAATATTTCATCTTTCAACAGATATCAGCATCACCCATTTTCTTCCTTAGAGATATAACACCATGCTTCAAAAGAAGAATCTTAAAGAATAACACTTGGGAATATTCAACTTTGAAAATAACCTGAAATTCTAAAAGTTTTTAGTGCCCAAAACATTCACGACAAGTTCAAATGTGTGCAAGTTTTCAGTCTATTCATGCAATTATATTTTAAGAAAGAAAATCTATAATGGTTTGTAATGCTGTCATTTTATGATTTCTAACACTCTATAAAGTAATATAGAATTGGTTTTTCCAACAGAAATCTAATAAACTGTATTTTTCTAAGGCTTCATATTTTAAATAGCTCACTATAAATATTTGTGAACATGCTATTTATAGTATGTATGTAAATACAATCAATTCTCATTATTTGAGGATTCCATATTTGTGACTTCTCCTAACTCACTGAAGTTTACCTGTAAACTTAATACCAATATTTGTAGAGTGGCAGAATTTGAGACCCTCCACACATTTTCAGGTGATGTTGAACAAGGTATCATTCTGCTTCTTTACTTCTTCTTGTATTGTAAATAATGCTCTCATTACAGTCTGTTTGGCTACGTTTTGCCACTAAATAACACTTGTATGCTGCTTAATGGTGATTTCACTAATTAAACTGCCCCCCAGTGTCGTATGAAGTGCTACCTAGTGTTCCTAAATACGAAAAGGCAGCGATTACCTTTGGAAAAAATCTTCAAATGAGATTTATTTACACCTGAGTTATACTGCGGTTTCCATGAGTTAAGTATTAATGAATTAACAATAGATATTAAACAAGGTATCTCTATACGTAAAGGCACACAAAACAAAGTTTTGTATTGATTTTCTGATAACAGTTGTGACCAGAGGCTTGTAGGAACCTGACCTCATGTGTCTCCTAGGAACAATGTATCAGTATTTGCAAATAAATAACTATATTAAATATTGAGTATTGATCTATTTATAAATTTTACTGTGATTCCTTCTGAAAAGGCATTGAAAAAGCCTACAAAAGTACAACAAAATAAATAGATAAAATAAAATTAAGAATATAAATTAAGACTGAAAAGCGTAATAATATACATCACGTATGTCTTACAGAAAATGTTCTTATATATTTTAAAATGGACATTTGCCATTACTGTAAACCAAGCAATAATAGGAATCACTGGGGCTCAATATCCTAGTGTATAATAGGGAATGAGATGAGTAAATAAGCTGCAGAAGACAGACTTCTGTAGATTTAGGTAGTTATTTTTGCCTCAACCTCAATAGCTCATCTTCTTAGGTTTTCTTGATTGGCAGTCAATTCACAGAATTTTAGAGAAAGAAGGAACATGAAAGATCATTAACAATCTTTTTGTGTCTGATGTTTTTGTACAAGGTCCCCAGCAAGTTCTTGCCAACATATGTTGGCATGTGGCCAGCGCATGGCTGCCCCCAGGTTTATGCTTACATCGTGTCCTTATGAAAAAGAACATTAATGCACAAAACTTCACGTAAGCTCAATGGATTGTCACAAAGTGAACACACATCCCACTACTACTCAAGTCAAGGAATGGAGCATACTTAGAAGCACAGAAACCACTTGAGGCCACCCCCTAAGCCAGTCAATAGGTCTCTCTCTCCTTCTTTGCCCAAATCATGACTATACTGACTTCTTTTTTTTAATAAATATTTTTAGTTGTAGTTGGACACAATATCTTTATTTTATTTTTATGTGGTGCTAAGGGTTGAACCCAGGGCCTTGCACATGCTAGGCGAGCACTCTACTGATGAGCCACAACCTCAGCCCCTATACTGACTTCTAATGTCCTAGAATAGCTGTGCCTGAATGTGAATTTCTTGAAAGGCAATGCTGCATCATGTTGTCTTACACATCTAGCTTCTTTTGCTTAGCACTTTTTTTTTTTTTTTGGTCAGCAAAACAACGGAAAGTTTATTTGTTCATCCCAGCCAAATGTCCCTCCAACCCCAGGGCTTTTCAAAGCATATTCTCCTGAGACTTTGTTAAAGTGCACATTTAGATCTACTAGGTCTGGGGTGTAGCCTGAGAGTGCCTTTCTAACAAGATCCTTTAGTTAGGTCAGGCCTTGATACTTAAGGTGTCATCCATGGACCAGAAGATTTAGCATCACCTGGGAGCTTGTTAGAAATTCGGACTTTCAGCGGCCACCCAGACCAACTGAATCAGAACCTTCATTTCAACAGGAGTCCCACATAACATGGGACAAACATTGCTCTAATGCTTAGCATTTTGTTGGACAGCCATCTGTGTTCCTAGATGCTCATTCATTTTCTCTCTGTATGATGATAGCACAATTTATCGATTTTACTAGTAATAGATATTTTGTGTACTTTTAACTTTGGATATGATAACTAATGCTTCCTTGAATAATTTTATATATATGTATATCCATACATATATACATATATAGATGTGTGTGTATATATATATATATATATATATATATATATATATATGTACATACACACATATACATATCTAGGCATATATATAAACACACATTTAATTATGGGATGTTTGGATATCCTATTTTATAAAATGCCTGGAACCTTCTGTCCACTTTTTGGACTGTAGATTGCTTTTTTGACAGTTCTATGTGAAGCAAATATCTTCCCCCAATCTGTGGTTTATCTCCTCACTCCCTTTATGATATATTGGAATAAACAAAACCTCACAATTTAATACAATGTCATTCTTTATCTTTTTGGTTAGTGTTTTTTGGGATTAAGAACTATTTCCCTAACAACAACATATAGGAGACATTCTCCTGCAAAATCTCCATAAGCTTCACTGTTTTACCTCTTACATTCAGACCTATTCCTTGACTTGCTGTATGGTGAGGTAGGTCAATTTCACTTCTCTCTACCTGGACATCTAATTGACCCACGACCACTTTATTTCAAAGGCTACTTTTCTCCACTGCTTGTACTCTGAACTTTGTCATTTAATCAAGTATCCACACACCACTAGAACTCTGAATGGCATTTTTGAAATAGTAGACAAACTTGAGGAAAACTGAAATTTTTATAATATTAAGTATCTATCCCCTTCTATTAACATTGCCTATCTTTCTGTACTCTGTATACAGCTTTCTGTGCATAAGTTTCACGTATTCTCTCTAAATCAGAAGTTGATGTTTCAGAATGCTATTTTAAATGAAGAATTTATAAAAATATCTTGTTTTTTGTCATCTGTACAAATACCAATGGATTTTTAAAACCATGTTCCAGACATTCAGATAAATTTTCTCATTTTATTTATCTGTAGGTCACAATCAGGCTGTTTGTGAAAAGTGACATCTTTTACTCTTCCTTTGTCATCTTTAATTTTTTCTCCTTTACCTGCCTCATACTGTCAAAATATTAAATAGAAATGATGATAACAGGTGTCCCTTTTATTGTTTCAGACCTCAGGATAAATATTCAGCATTTCAATACATAAAATATTTGCCACAGGATTTTTTTTTGGTAAATAATCTTTATCAGCTTAGAGAAGGGGCTCTCTCTATTCTTAATTTGTTCAGATTTTTTTTGAAAAAGAATAAAGAATAAAAATTAAATTTCATCTAATAATTTTTCTATTTCTTTTGTAGATAGATGACAATCTATGGTTTATTTTCTCCTTTGTTCTGTTAAAGTGGTGAATACCTTTGATTAATTTTTAATAGTTCAGAAAGCCTTCTGTTCCTGGAATAAACCTAAAATTACTGTGATGTACATCCTTTTTATATATTTCTGGTTTTGGTTGGCTAATAAGTGATTTAAAATTTTTACAGAACTATTATGAGTGAGGTTGGTCTGTAAATTTTCTTTCTTGCTAGTCTGCAAGGTTCCTTTCCAGTAAATAACTTTATTAGGTATAGAATCAAATTATGCTGGTCTCATAAGGCGATTCAGGATGTTTTCCTTCATAACATCTAAAAAAATTGCATAAAATTAGCATTATTTCTTAAATATTTATTCTGATTTACAAATGAAGCCATGAAGTCTTGAGGTTTTCTTTGTTGAAGGTTTTTAATTACAGATATACGGACCTGATGCTTAGAGTATTACTTAAATTTTTTATTCTTTTGTGAGCTTAATTTGGTGTTTTTTTTTTTTAATTTTATAGCATTGGTGCTTAAATTATTGATATTCAGTCTGACTTCATTTCTAACATTTTCATGTAAGGCTTAAATCTTCCTTTTAAATATGTCTTTATATAAGATTTGATGTGTCACATTTTCACCATATTCTATTTCAAAATATTTTCTGATTTTCATCATAATTTATTTGGTCCAATTTTTATTTAACTTCTAAAATAAAAGGGTATTCTGGGCTTTATTTGGTTTTGATTCCCCTCTTGTATGAGAACAACCTTTATATGAAGCTTTTTTAAATTTTATATTTTTTTTTTAGTTGTAGATGGACATAATGTCTTTATTTTGTTCATTTTTATGTGGTGCCAGGATCGAACCCAGTGCCTCACACACGCTCAGCAAGTGCTCTGCCACTGAGCCACAACCCCAGCCTTGTATGAATCTTTTAAAGACTATCTGTCTATTTATTGTGATGCTACTGCTTATTGTATCAGTCACTGTGAGAACAGTATTATTATTTTCCACTATAATTCAGACTTTGTGTGTGCCTATTTGGGATTCTCTCTCGTTTGACTTTGTATATATTGAAGCTAGTTTGTTTTTTGCATACTCATTTAGAATGATCATACCTTTTTCCAGAATGGAATCTTACTTATCATTGTAAAGTTATCTCTTTATCGCTAGCACTGCCTTTTTCCTTAATGGACAGATTTTCTGATAATAACACTATCACACAGACCTTCCTTAGTGTTTTCATGGTATATCTTTTTTCATTTTTTGGTAACCTTTCTATAATCTTTCATATAAAGTGTGTTTCCTATGAGTACATCTATGAGTTTTTTTTTTTTTAATTTTATCTATTCTGATCATCTCTTTCTTTTATTGGAGTATTTAGTAAGTTTATATTTAATGTAATTACACCTTTGGGTTCAAATCTACAATCACATTATTTACATTCTCTTTGTGCCAGATAGTTTATGTTTTTTGTCTCTCTTTTTTTTTTTTTTTTGAGAGAGAGAGAGAGAGAGAATTTTTTAGTATTCAGGTTTTTTTTTTTTTTTCCGGACACAACATCTTTATTTTATTTTATGTGGTGTTGAGGATGGAACCCAGCGCCCCGTGCATGCCAGGCGAGTGCGTTACCGCTTGAGCCACATCCCCAGCCCTGTCTCTCTTTTGTTGCCCTTCAGTTTTTTGTTTTGTTTTGTTTTGTTTGGGGGCAGGTATCAGGGATTGAACTCAGGGGCATTCAACCACTGAGCCACATCACCATTCCTATTTTGTATTTTATTTACAGAAAGAGTCTCACTGAGTTGCTTAGCACCTTGCTTTTGCTGAGGCTAGCTTTGAACTCGAAATTCTCTTGCCTCAGCCTCCCAAGCTGCTGGGATTACAGGTAGGTGCCACCACGCCCATCCAATTGTTTTTGTTATTTAATTTTCCTTCACTTTAGCTTTTCAGTTACATGCGTTTGCTTTATTATTGTTATTTTGTAGTGGTTACCTTGAGCTGCAACATTAATCACTAACCAGTGAAGATCCAAAATACATTATTATTTTTACCACTTTTTAGAATAATGCAAAGACCTTAGAACGCATTAACACCTTTCAACTTAAAGGTTATTATTGTTGTTAATGTCATATACATTTGTCATTAATATTATCTTATACAATATGGTCATTAACATTTACAATCAATACTCATTTAGATTTTCCCTAACATTTATGATTTCCATTGTCTTTAGTTCTGTCCTTCATCTTTCAAGTTTCTCTCAAGGATTCTTTCCCTTCTGTTTGATACCCTTTCATACTTACTCTAGTGAGATAATTTTTACTTGCGTGAAAATGCTTCTAATCTAGGTTTCTGAATGATATTTTTTGCAAGATATGAAATTCCAGGTTCCCAGTTATTTTCCTTCAGTGTTTCAAAAGTGTCATTGGTTTCCATTGATTTTGTTGAAAATCAGTTGTCGTGATTTTTCTACACTACAGAATATGGATCTTATTTTCCTCTCTGGGTTTGTTTAAGAAATTCCTTTCAGTTTTGATTTTTTTAAGCATTTTTACTACTATATTTTATCTAGATTTGATTACCTTTTTATCTAATCTAGTTGAAGTTTTTTGTAATTTGTCTCTTATCTATCTTAGAAAGGACTCTGTCAATATCTCTTAAAATATTGACTCTTCCATTTTCTCTTCCATTGCCTGAACCTTTTCAACCACATCCTGAACATTTAGTATTTTATTTCCCATATTTTTCAACCTTTTTTTTCACTCTATGCTTTATTTTGGTTTTATCTTCCTGACCTATCTTCTAGCCAATCAAACTTTTCTTCAACTCTGTCAATTCTGCTGTTCCACCCATCCAATAAGATCCCAAATTCAGTTACTTTGTTTTTAGCCCAATAATTTCAAAGCAGATATTTTTATTTAAGTAATCTCCACGACACCATTGTGTCAGTATCATTTTCTGTCCTCCATCTGACGGTCCAGTCTAATAAATAAATTATATGATTTCCCTTTGTGCTTATCACAACTGTATGGCTTGTTTCTCTCTTTTCTCAATGTTTTAAGTCACATTTTCTTATCTGCTCAAATGTTTGGTTATTTTTAATCAATTGCTCGACATTATTTATGAAGAAACACAGAGGCACTGTTTAAAGCTCTTTATAATCTTATTTTCTTATGCAGAGAATTTAAGTTCACTTTTCTGCAGCACCTGTGATGGAGGCAACATCAACCTCAGATGGTTTTCTGCACCATGGATTGAGATAATTCTCAGCTGGACTTTTTCTGGTGATGGGTAAGGTGTAGGACTCTGGAAGTAACACCCTTTAGTGGGACAAGAGTTCCTCCTCCTTGTTAGGTCCCGAATTCCAATCTTACTTTCTAAGGCCAACTACTCTTGCAAACCTGTATTTACCTTTGAGACTTTCAGACACCTTCCCTGTAATTAAAAGATAACCTCAAAATGAAAATGCCCCCAAATGCCAGTTCCATCTTTTTGGATTTCTCTTGGTCTCTTGACCGAGAGATTGCTCACCACTGTGGTAGTCTCCAGCTTCCAGGCAAATTTTAAAAATACACTTTGTCCTTTTTTCTAGTTGCTCTTAGATGATTATTTGATCCATCAATACACAATCCATGATTGCCAAAAATGCAATTTCTTTTTACCTCCCTAATTGAGTCTATTTTCCTTTAGAGAAAATATTTTGGGAGAAGTAGAAGGGTCAGTATGGCACCCATTTATCTGTCCCACTCTGAAGCAGGCCATACATTTTTCTACCTATTCTCTAACTTTAATCCTCACCATTACCCTACTGATTACCAATTTCAAAATGAACTATTATCAGAAAGGAAAATTGAGATGCCCCTCATCTGAGATCACAAAAATCAAGTCTCTTTTAAAAAGCTGTTTTACTGAGTTCCTTGCTGTAACTGTAAATAGGATAGTGTTTAAGAAAGACCATAAAAGCCAGGCACAGTGGGACACTGCTGTAATCCCAGCAGCTCCAGAGGCTGAGGCAGGAGGATCACAAGTTCAACGCTAGTCTCAGCAACCTAGCGAGGTACTAAGCAATTCAATGAGACCCTGTTTTCTAAATAAAATACAAAAAATGGCTGGGGATGTGTCTCAGTGGTTAAGTTCCCCTGAGTTCAATCCTCAGTACAAAATAAATTAATAAATAAAAATACCATAAACATGTAAAGCTAGAAGGGTCCCTAAAGATCCAATCTAAACCTAATTCTATTTTCTTTTGAAGAATCTCAAGCTCAAGAGACCAGGTCAAGATCACAAAGCAATACTTGCAGAGCTGAAGCTGTAAGTTAGGCATTCTACTGTTTGACACAGGGCTGTTTCTGATGAAATGTAATGCCATACTTCTTAGACCTCATGATCACTCCTTTTTATTCTAAACCATGTAAACTCCCATAGTTTATTTTTTGCTTTTTTTTCATTCATGGGGTTAAATCCAGGGGCACCCTACTACTGTACTACACCCCCCAGCCCTTTCTATTTTTATTTCAATACAGGTCTTGCTAATTTGTTGAAGCTGGCTTTAAACTTGTGATCCTCCTGTCTCAGCCTCCCAAGTTGCTGGGATTACAGGAGTGCATCATTGTGCCAGGTGCAAGCTCCCATAATTTTTATAGGAGGCTTAGAGTCCTAGTAAAGATGATAATTTCTGTGGTGGGATATTATGTGGTCTTCTTCCTCTTTCACTTCAACTTTCTCATAGTTAGCTCTTAATTACATGAAATTTAGTTCAAATGAGTTTCAAGCTCATCTACATCAGAAGAAATCAGTGGGAACCTATAACTTCTATCACCTTTGTGATAGAAAAGGAATGATGTTGACAGGATGAAATAACCTCACTTGCCAAGTGTGACTGTATTCCTGGTTCTGCTGATAATGATTGAAAGGAAAGTCTCTTCTCCATGCTGGGTCTGAACTTCCTTGTTTTTAAAATTAGGGAGACAAACTAGATTAGTGGATCTCAACCCCACCTGAATATTAGAAACATCTGGAGAACTTTTAAATATACCTAGACCTCAGGTCTAGGTATATTTAAAAGTTCTCCAGATGTTTCTACCAATTATATCAGACCAGAGATTTTGATATAATTGGTTGGGAGTGGGGTCCAGCCATCTGTATTATTTAAAGACTCCCAAGGTGTCTCCAATGTGTTCAGAACCACTGCACCAAATGTCCACTATTATTCTTCCCAAACTTTCAACTATGATTGAATAATCTATAATGAAATAGCTATGTTAGTACATGCATATTTATAGTAGCAAATATAGCAAAGATTAAAATAATTTCACTTTACAATTTGGGCTAAGGGGACTTTAATTTCCCAAAGCAAATATAATAAAGGCATAAACATCCTGAACATGACAGCATTTCCTGGCTCATCAACTCTAAACTAGTATAGCATAAAAATATAGCCTAATGTAAGTTAAAACATGACACATTTCTAGCTTTTACATTTTAATCAGAATCTCCTAGGAGATCTTACAGCACCCCAATGGCATGCAGGCCAGTTTTTAAAAATAATGATTGGTTTCAAAAAAACTATCAAAGCATATTCAGTACTAGTAACGTTTTATTCACAAAAACCATACTTACTTTAGAGATGCAAAAGAGGGGACAGTACTTATCATTCCAGTCTCTGCCATCTCAATAGCATGTTTTATTTCCAGCTTTTTATATAAGGACACAATGCTTGACTTGGGTTGGTTTTCCCGAATCAAAAGCTTCCGAAGGTATTTGTCATCAAATTTCTTAAACCTGTAAATAAAGAAAGTCAAATTTTCAATTAGTGAAAACCGTACTGACAGATAAAACAAACAAATGAAAAAACTCCCAGGTAAAAATTATTAGCCGCATTTAGCTAATCTGATCTTAATGTCTATTTTTATATACGTATGCTGGTATATGTGTGTATACAACACATATAATATACTTATGTGTATGTATGCATACAAATATCTACATAATACATAAACTTGTACATGGATAGTTTTGTATATGACCAGAACATACATACATATATCTACTATTCACTAAAGATTAAATATATCTATATGTATATCTATATATATTTATCCCTTTAACATTTTTCTACTTCCTCTTTCAGCAAATGTGTTATCCATACTTGGTATTGCCACTTGCTCTGCTGTGATTATGGAGTAGTCACAAGCCACGCTTTTGCCTCCAACACTCCACGGAAGCTGCTGTCACAGAAGTCATTAGTGAACCCCACAGTGAAATCCAGTGGCCAGCTGGTATCTCATCCTTCCTGGCCTCAACTGCTTAACACATGGTTTTCATTTGGCTCCCAGTATACTACACCCCGGGTGCCTACTACCTCCTTCTTGGCTTCTTTTGTTGGTTCCGTGCCTTCTTTCTGACCTCTCAATGTAGGAATGTCCTAGGGGTCCATCCTTGGTCTACTTCCCCTGGGCATCTTGCCCAGTTTCATGCCTTTTCACAACATCTCTATATTCAAGACTCCATAGTTCATCTCTCCAGCTCCAACCTCTTTCCCTAAACCCAGACATGAACATTCCCCTGCTTACTGGTTAAGTAAGTGTTCAGTTATAAAAAGGTGAATAGGAAGGCTCTATAGAGAAAATTACCATTGAGGAGAGACTTAGAGGAGGTGTATGAATGAGTTCTTCGGGTATCTGGGGACAGACATCACTGGTTAAGTGTTTATCAGGCATCTCATACTTGACATGTTGAAACTGAACCGATCTCCCACAATCCTCCCAATCTTGGATAAGTGTGACTCCACTGGGTCCAAAACTGGTGGCATCTGTAATTCTTCTATGATATTCCATAGTATGGGCTTAATTGTGCCCAACCAAAAATTCATATGTTGAATTCCTAACTCCTAGTTTATCTGAATGTGATTGTATCTGGGGATAGGGTCTTTCCAAACACAATTAAGTTAAGATGAAGTTACTAGGGTGGGCTCTAATCCAATATGACAGGTGTCCTTATAAGAAGAGGACATTTGGACATAGTTGCATGCAGAGGGAAGACAAGGTGAAGAGTCAGGGAGAACAACTTCGTCTGCAAGTCAAGGAGATTCCTGGAGCAACCCTGTCCTCACAAGGAACCACCCTAGCTCAGACCTCCACCCCAGAATGGTAAGAAAACTCATTTCTGTTGTTGGAGCCACTTAACTATGTAGCAGGTGCAGGGCACTATTATTCCACATCCACTCTAGCAATAATTTCTGTTGATCTGCATCAAAATACTTAGAGAATCCAACACCCTCTCACCACTTCTAACACCAGTACCAGGGTCCAAGTCCTCTTTCACTGGACGCTCACACTGAATTGTGTACTTAATTGGTGTGCTGGCCTCCTGGTCCTAGGGCCTATTCTCAACACAGAAGACTGAGTGCTCCTGTTAGAATGTCAGTCAAACAGTATGACTTCTCACTTGAATAAAAGCACTGTGGCCTATGAGGCCTTCCAAAATCTGGGTCTGCACCTCTGAGCACTGTGTGCCTCTTCCTCGGCAGCAGCTTCACTAGGGTCCTTTCTGTCTTAGATACTTCCCACCGGCACTCTGGGCCCTTATACTTATTATTCCTTCTATTAGGGATGTCTGTCCCCAGATACCTGAAGAACTCATTCTTACACCTCCTCCAAGTCTCTCCTCAATGGTAATTTTTCTCTATACAGCCTTCCTATCCATCTTTTTATAATTGAACACCCCTTCTCCACCCTCTGCATTTTCTATTTCACTTCCCAGGTGTATCTTTCTACATAGCGTTTATCACTTTCTAACAAGAAAAGTAATTTCTTTATCTTATTTTCTATCTCTTGGCACTAGAATATAAGATCTACATACACAGGGACTTTTGTCTTCTCCTGTTATCACCTGTTCTTAGAAGAGTGTCTGGCACACTATTGATGAGGTATAATAGATCATTTGGTCCCAGTGTCTCCTTGTGTTCACATTTTCTTCCATCTTACCTGAAATGTCATCCTGCCATGGCTTGGTGACATGCCCTGTCTGCTTCCAGCTACTGGACTCTATAATATCATTCCTTTTGATGAATGGGCTATTAGCACATGAGGAGGGAAGAGGAGCCTTCAGATGGGCTTCCACACTGAAGCCTGCACGCTGTGCTTCCACAGGCCTCACGGGAACATGTGTGCAGAGTGGCACAAAGGTGCAATCACATGAGTGAGCCAGAGTCAACCCACCCCTGTCACATCAGGCAAGGGTAGCTAGGATCAGCTGACCACCAGCCAAACCCTTGCAGCATGAGCAAGACCAGCCCAGATCAGCACAGCCCAAACCCAGACCAACTGACTCACAGTCTTGTGACTCATGCACTGTAACAATAAATGAAGGCTGTTTTGAGTAGTTGTATTTTGGCATGGTTTGTTGAGCAACATTGTTGTGCCAGCATGTAAGTAAAGCAGCATGCAATAAATGTTCATTGAGAAAGAAATACATGTGTTACAGTGATCACCATAAACCCGAAGAGGTTTATAGGCACACCTGTGCCATGAAAGGAACAAATGTTAACTCACAATCTTGGCACTGGTCCTTTCTTCTAAATACTGGAGGGCTCTCAATAGGGAAAGGGGAGCCATCCTGAATGGGCTTTGGTACTGACTGGCTACCACACTAAAGGGAGCGCCTACTGTTTCCCAGTTTATTTTGAATTTCATGTTTGGCCCCTGGAGCCAGGATTCCTGACAACAGCACCGCATCTTGAACTTCTTTTATTGTTATTATTGTTTTCGCTTTTTCGCTAGAGATAAGCAAAAGGAAGGACAAACATTGAGGACAATGGCATTTGATCTATGCTGTGCAGAGATTGTGTATTTTCTCTCTCTCTTCATTTCTGCTTCTTTCATTTATCTGCCAAGTTATACATAGGTGTTCTCTTTCACCATCATTAGAGACCTTTTGCTAAGTCTTAGTAATGTGTCCACCGTGTAACCCTTTCATTTCATTCCCAAAGGATCAAAGACCTCATGAACTCTCTGCCAGGACCACTAGAAATCCAAAGCATAAGGTCTTTGGAGGAAAAAGAAAGAAACCCAACGTGCCTAGAACAATCACTTATTTGTGTATGTCCTTTTTAGTCAAATAAATAATCATATATTTTTGAGAGATGAACTCTGAGCACAGTATTAAAAATAACCTGTTTCAGCACCCCCTCTCCCGTACCCACCTACTTCTTTGTTCTGCCTGAGACGCACAGGTATATACGACAATCCAGAAAATCATTTGAAATTTACCTGGGAATAATTGTGCAAGGAAATCTATAAATGTTTACAAAATTATTAAATGAAGTCTATTCACTGCTGAGAAAAGTGTTAGAGAAGGAGAAACTTTACTTTCCAGACATGAGCCAGTTGGCTCGGCTGTCCTTGGCACTCACGGTCCATAGCCTGGCTGCCTGGGGATGTCTGCCTGGGATGACCTTGTGGACCCAGAGACAGTGTCTCTGTCCAAAAACAGGACAGAGGGACTTCCTCTGGCATTCCTTTGCCTGAGTTCCAAACCAAACCCTCACCATCACAGTGTCCATCTTTCCAGGGCCCTGCAGGCTGCTGACCTGAATCTGATGCCTACTCATGTCTATTTTCTTCCCCATCAGGTAGGCAGGAGTGGTAGGAATGGAGAGCCCAATCTTCACTTTGGGTGAGATCCTAACTGTTCTGGGTTACACCTCTCACTCACCTCCTCGGGAGATTACTGATAGGATTCTAGAGAAAGGGAAAAGAATGGTTGGGTAGAAAGGGAGACACTTGGTGGAGAAGAGGCATGGTTACAAAAACAACAGAGAAAGGAGAGAGGAAAGTCAGGTTCTCTGGCTTGGCCCAAGCAAGGACCCATGTACGTGAGGATGGTCCCCCAAATGAGAAGCAGGCTTGGGTAGAGAGACATGGGGCAGATGGGGCAAGTTTTCTGGTTCACCTCTGGCCTCTGAAGTCCTGAATGTTTCCCAGGAGAAATGGCTTTTTTTTTTCCTGCCTATTTTTACAATGTAGATGGTAGTTTGCTTTATTTTATTACCTTGTGCTCCCATGTGGCTAACGGGGCACTCTCCTCACACATAAACTATCTTTTATTTATGAACTAAGGCAAAGCCCAGGGGACCTTTCTACATTAGTAAACAGAACTGCAAACCTTGTAAAGGTTGTTCTGCCATCTTTATAGTTCATTGTATTGCTTAATGATCTCTGTCCCTGACTCTTCTCTGACTCCTCTCTCTCTCTCTCTCTCTCTCTCTCTCTCTCTCTCTCTCTCTCTCCACACACACACACACACACACACACACACCCCTGTTTACTAAGCAGCTGTTTTATTGTCTCTATTATGTTGCACACTTTTAGAGGCCCCAGCCAATATCCTGTCAGCACAGGTGAGCAAACAAAGTCTCAGAAATTCTCTGATGTTAAATTATATACATGGGCAGGTTGACTAACTTTATGTAAATTAGTAGTGGAGAGAAAGTTTTGTTAGCAAATTCAGAAGGAAAAGGCAAGAGAGATCCTCCAAATATAGTTTAGAATATTGTTCTTCTGTCTTCAGGGTCCAGATTCCATGATACTTCCTTCAAAAGTCTTATCCAGCCAGCGATATGCTTATAAATGTTCCACAAACTGCTCTATGAAGAAAGGTGCCTACTTATAACATCGTCAGATCCATGATGTGAGCTCTCCAAAGCATCCATCCTGGTGGCACCATATGTGCAGAGGGGAGGCCACACACCTGGTGATCTCCTGCTCGCTGGTGAGGGCTGGCTCCTGGACCCCACTCTCCCCCGCTCTGCTGTCACGACTCATTGATACTTTGTGACCCCATGTCTCTGCTTTTCAATTTAAACTACTGCATCAGTCTAATTCTGCCGGGCTAGTCTACCTTTCCACTACAACTGTAAGAACTATGAAGACAGGACTATAAATCCACCACAGAACCATTTACAAAAAAAGTCAACTCTGTGTGCATGCATGCATGTGTGTATGTGTGTGACATACAGAAACATATTCAATCTTTCATCTAATTGAAGCCTTTAAAATATTTTGAATATTTGTGATTTCTACTAGTTTATTTACATCCTAGGTGCTCTAAATCTCTGCATTCAACAAAGTCTCACTGTGCGGCTGAATGGCAGTAACAGAAACCCTGTTGTTTGGACAATAAACTGAGGGGCACATTACCACTGAGCTATGTCACCAGATCATTTCATTTTTTACTTTGCAACAAGATCTTACTAAAGCTGGCCTCAAATTCATGATCCTATTTCCTCAACCTCTCCAGTCACTATTATTATAGGCGTCCACCATCAGACCTGGCAGTAACTCCTATTATTAACAGATAGCCTGCATTCCTCAGCCTCCTTTACAGAGGAATGGCCATACACCAGGGTCCTAGCCATTTGATAAAAGTAGAGAAATTGTGACAGCTTCTGATAGCTCTGTTGAGGAGTCAGATAGCAGATGTGCTCTTTCTTTCTTTATGCAGTCTAGAATAGCTGATACCAAAGTACCAATTCTTGTCCAATAAGCAAATGTAGAAATGGAGGCCACTTTTGGTGTCTCAGCTGGTCAAAAGGATCCCGGGATCCTGAGGAAACTACGGAGTGGAACTCATCTATTAATAGCCCACCTCTGGCAACTGATATAAGAGAAATAGGCATCTACTTTGTTTAAGCTATTACTACCTATTCTTCCACATCTGTTATAGTTGAATTTTATCTGAAAGGACACACCATGCACAATATAATAAATATTTGCAACCCTGAAAATTGACACAAGTCAAAATATTCTGCTTCCAGAGTGACCCAGAGCCATTTCATAACACAATGACTCATGACCTTACTTGTCTCTCCAAAAGTTGTGACCCCAATGTCCACAAACGTCTTCAATGCCAGTCTTCACATGATCAAAAAACTAAAACAGAAAAAGCAGGCTAATTGATTAGCTATTACCTGAAGTCAGCAATTTTTAATTTATAATCATGACTAAACTGCAATGACCCTAACAGTTGTTGTTTCTTATTGTTGGTTTATTTTTCTGAAAGCAATAAAACCAACAATTTGTCTTCCAATCAGAGGGGATGTTGGTTATATCAATATTAAGCAATTACTATTTCAGTTATTTTGATCATCATAAGAGTTTGTTCATAAGTTTGAAAAATATGAAAAATGGCAATAATTGTCAAAATGGTAAAAAGTGTGTAGAAACATTTTTAGATTGAAGGAAGTAAAGAGGGAGTTTCTTGCGCCCTCTGTTGATATAGGAGTTTAGCAAGCTGGCTTGGAGATGCCATCGTGGGATTATGATTATTATTATGCTCCCACGCAGACCTGCTCCAGGCCTGGCACCCTTCCTTTCTTCTGCAAATGAGCAATTGGGTGTCAAGTTGTTTTAATGATTCAAATATTTCTTTCTTTGTTCATGTAAGTGTTACACTTCATCAGCACCTACCCGGCAGTGGATTTCTTCACTGACAGCTTGCTGCTTCTTATTAGATCTCTTAACATCAAGAAACTCCACCAGTGGCCGGATGGTTATCCCCTACAAAGAAAAAAAAATATGTGAACCTTCTTATAAAATAAAATTAAAAATTCAATAACAACTCCTCCTAAATTTTGATGACCAATAACAAAATGTATTTTGCTGCCACAATTTAAAAAAAAAAGTAAATGGAACATTTTGTTATTTTTTTCTTCCTTTTTGACAGCTGGCTTATTTTTGGAAGACAATGTCCTAACACAAAAGAATAGATTAAAATGGAAGAAATGATAATAATTCTAACAAATACTAGAGTATTATCCAGTTTGGAAGAATCACCTACTTCTTGTATGGTCCACAGAAATACTTCAACAATTCTTTCATTTGCTTATTTATCAAGACAATTTTAACTAAGTTCCTACTGCATCCATGCCAGGGGCTTGGGCATTTGGAACACAGTGATTAACAGTTCAGTAGCTCAGCTCTGAGACTTTGGAGTCTAATACAAAGTCAGATCTATCCAACAGCAACTAAAGCAGGGAAAGAGGAATGAGAAAGAGAACACAGGCCAGGGGTCAAGGAATGCTTTATACAGAGAAGCACTCAACAGGAGTGTTGGAAGTATCTCTAAGCAGTGACCTCAGGAAGGCCAAGGGCCAGCACTGGTCAGGGGCATGAAGTAAATCTGGGCATGTTCATGGATGAACTTGCGAAATGGAAAGAATAATCAGCTCTTCAGTAAAAAAAAAGAAAAAGAAATTCCCTAATGTGTCCAAAGTTTTCTACCACAGTGTGACAGCAAATATCTCAATTAATGATAGAACAGTAAAAGCATTTCCATGAGAGAGCTCCCTGTCTGCCATTTAGCACAGTTCTGCATGTCCCAGTCCATTCAACAAGAACAGGCAAGGAAGGGGTAGATAAGAAGATCTTTGTTGCTATAGAGGATGATCTACTTTTCTGTCCACAAAATGAAGATAATCCTTTTTCGTTTAAAAATAACAAGAAAGATTTAAAAAGTGATGAATACAAAATGAACTTGCACGATCCATTCCATATACTTATTTAAAGATGTAAAAGAATATGTATTAGCAATGAAAAACAAGTATATGGTATAACCAGGACATATTAGTATACAATAATATGTGAAATATATTAGTATGTTATAAAGATAGTAAACACACACACACACATTAGATACATGTGTATGTGTGCATGTCTGTGAATATAGATTTGGATATACACAAACCCTATAACAAACACATAAACTCTTATGAAGCAAACTATAACATTTAAAGGATATTTGAAAGATTTGAGTGTAAAAAAAAAAAAGGCATATACAGTTCCTAGATAGGATAACAATATTCTGATGACAAATTGCTTCTCAATTATCATATTTATGCAATGTAATTCCAATACTATATTGACAAGGATTTTTAACAGAATTTGAGAAATTGATTTTAAATTAACCTGAAAGAGTAAATGTAATCAGAAAATTGTAGAAAAAGGAGGGTGAGGGGGGAATTTACAGATACAGAATGAATCGCTAGCCATATACCTAAAAGTATGTGACAAAGCACCAAAGTAGGGCAGTTGGGGAGGCAGTGAGAGAGGGGGTGCAGGAAGTCTGCTTAGGCTCTTGCTCCATGGGTAGAGGAGAGGAATGAATATTGAGTTTGCGGGAGGGGAGTGGAAGATACAATAAGGTCTAATCCATAGCATTTTGATTTCTTTCTTAAAAGTCCACGTCTTTAAGAATGCATTTGGGAAATGGATGGCATTAGAGCAGATTATGCTAAGTGAAGCTAGCCAATCCCTAAAAAACAAATGCCAAATGTCTTCTTTGATATAAGGAGAGTAACTAAGAACAGAGTAGGGACGAAGAGCATGAGAAGAAGATTAACATTAAACAGGGATGAGAGGTGGGAGGGAAAGGGAGAGAGAAGGGAAATTGCATGGAAATGGAAGGAGACCCTCAGGGTTATACAAAAGTACATACAAGAGGAAGTGAGGGGAAAGGGAAAAATAATACAAAGGGGGACAAATGAATGACAGTAGATGGGGCAGAGAGAGAAGAGGGGAGGGGAGGGGAGGGGAGGGGGGATAGTAGAGGATAGGAAAGGCAGCAGAACACAACAGACACGAGTATGGCAATATGTAAATCAATGGATGTGTAACTGATGTGATTCTGCAATCTGTATATGGGGTAAAAATGGGAGCTCATAACCCACTTGAATCAAAGTGTGAAATATGATATATCAAGAACTATGTAATGTTTTGAACACCAACAATAAAAAATTTTAAAAAAAAGAATGCATTTGACAATGTAAACACACATACACACAACTTTCTTTTTTTTTTTTTTTTTTTTTTTTTTTTTTGCGGGGGCTGGGGGGATACCAGGGATTGAACCCAGGGACACTTAACCACTGAGGCACATCCCCAGCTTGATTTTTAAATTATTATTTGTTTTATTTTGAGACAGGGTCTCAGTACGTTGCTCAGGGCCTCACTAAGTTGCTGAGGCTGGCTTTGAACTGGCGATCCTCTGCTTCAGCCTCCCTCCCGAGATGTCGGATTATAGGTGGGCACCACCACACCCAGCACACACACACACTTTTAAAAGGAGGTCCTAGGTTTTGTTCCATCCATCCAGCTCTGGGCATTTTTCAGCTTACTTTCATTTCAACTTTCTGAAAGGCAAAGTGACCTTGGCCAAATTTGGCAATTTGTGTTCTACTTGTATTCCAGTCCACTACTTTGCAGTAACAGGAAGTAATAACAGCTTCCAATCAACACACGTTCTGTCATTTTTAATTGATGTAAATTAAAATGGGCCTAAACATGTGGCTTTCAGAGACGGCTGAGATCGCTGAGTTGCATATTCCAAAAGGCCACTTGCACGATAATAATTCAAGGAAAAGTGAAGAGAATGCAGGCAACTTTGAAACTTGTACAATATCTTCTACACTAACTGCCGCTTCCCAAGTTTGTCTCTCTGTCAGTGTTCAGTTAGTAAAGAACAAGTGAGTGTCCAGTGTTTGGAAATACAGAGAATAAAAAAAAAAGATAGGGTGTGCATATATAAATATGGAGCAATAAATCCCACCATATGTACAACTGTAATGCACCAATAAGAAATATGGAAAAATACCATTGAGTACAGTGGTGCACACCTTTCATCCTAGCAGCTGGGGAGGCTGAGTCAGGAGGATCAAGAGTTCAAATCCAGCTTCAGCAAAAGCGAGGTGCTAAGCAACTCAGTGAGACCTTGTCTCTCATAAAATACAAAAATGGCTGGGGCTAAGTGTCCCTGAGTTCAATCCATGGTACCCCCTAAAAAATATATATATATATATGGAAAAAAAAACCCAGACAGGGCCCATGCCCAGTCCCAATTTTCACACTGCTTCCTTCCACTAGACAGATAATCTGGAAGTCAATGTGCTAATTGAATAAGTCACAGCTGATCAACTCCAAGAAGGAAGTGTGGATACCACCCAGATCAACTCAGGTTTCTAAAAGTATGACATAGTTAAGTTTATCATTAATAAGCATACAAATGTGAGCTTGTGTAGAGTTCCTTTTAATATCTGCCCCATCTCCTTGAATAATTTACAGCTGTCACGGTATGTTGCCTTCTCTCCCCTCTTCCTTTCCTTCCTCCTTCAGTCCAGTGGAGGCAGAAGACATGGCATTTGTGGATGCCACTTTTAGCTAAGCTGCCTGTTATAGTCTAGGAACCAGGATCTCTGGTTGGGAGGAAGAGAGAGAAATACAAACACACACAAACCAAAAACATAGGTAACCTTTGACAAAGCACCTTATTTGATCACCGTGGAACATTTTTAGTTAAGCCAACTGGAGAGCAATTTGATAAGGCTTAGAAAAGTAAGTTAAATTTTCTCCTGTTCATTTGGCTTTGGCACAGTCAACATCATACCTTACCGGCAGGATGAACTGTGAGACTCACTGGGCAGCAGTGCAGGAGAATAATAGGGAGGTGAGATTTGTTTTCCCTCTGGTTCTGTCTCTGCTTTCCTCCTACTCTACATTCCTCTGCTTACATTAATGTGATGGAGAAAGAAAGAAAGAAAGGGGAAAAACAAACTGTTGTGTGGTTAAAATGAGCATTCATTTGGTGTGTTCTTTAGTGAGGGGATGAATTATTGTTTTGGAAATCAAACAACAAAGGATGAGGAGAAACTGCCTTCTACCTCCTTGCAGACTTAGCAGTCCATTCCCAGAAAAACTTGAAGAAACTATGTTCATTTATTTTAGAATGTCCCTACCATTGCTAACCTATCTTACATAAGGCTTTTCTCACGTTCCAGACTTGATCACGAAGATTTCAAACCCAGTTGGCCAACAGCATTGTTTGAGAATGGCATACGTGGAATAAGAATCATAGAGGGTTGGAGCAGGTGTCCCTGGCCCCTGGTTGTTGGTCTTTGAGCACTCACCACCCTGCACAGTGGTGACCTGTAGGACATTCATCTTCTCCTAAACCACTTCTTTTACTGTACCACTGTATTTAAACAGGACTTATACTTAAAAAAAAACAAAACTAAAACAAAGCCATCTTTTGACAGACATGCTCCTCTGCTCACTACCCCTTTCTCTGCCAGACTTCCATGAAATTTCCAGTATCATCTTTCTCCAACGTCTCTCTTGTTCTTCTTGAACCCCATCAGTGGAGTTTCACCCTCACCATCCAGGACCCCTAAGGGTCCTTGTGAAGGGGCTGCTCCTCCCCACATTGCTGTCTCCCACAGTCCATTCTCCATTCACTCTTTGCTTGAACTCATAGCTGATTTGGCAGAGTTTCTAGAACCTTCTCGAACACTTCCTTCAGTAATGCTGCATCACCCCCTCCTGCAGCTAGTTCTTTACTATTCCCCTTGTTCAATCTCCTCCTTGCAACCTAGCTCACCAAGGTTCTCAACATCTTCTCAATTCTCCAATATTGCAGGGTTTCAGGGTTCAGTCCCCAGTGCCTCTTTTGTATACTCCCTCTCCATCATTTGCTGAATGATTTCTTCCAGACCCAGGCTTTCAAAGCT